GTATGTGTGTGGCTAGGAGAACCGTTATCGTTTGCGTCGATAGGAGTGTTTAGTCTAAGCTAGAGTAGGTATCGAGTGAGGTGTTTAGGTTTAAGCTGAAATACGTTTTAGAGACTGCGTCTCGAACGTGCGTTTTGTTTAGATCATTATTATAAGATAGGAATAAGGAAGGGTCGACTTTGACTGCAGGAACGTCACTCTGTATCGAACGTTAGTCGAGAGCAATCACAGTTTTACGTTTATGATCTTTTACGTTTACGTTTTATGTCTTTCTTTTATGTTCTTTATGTTAAATAGTTAGTAAATATTAAATAATATAATTACATCGTTACGTTTAGTGTTCACGTATTTGAATCCGTCCACACGCCTTTGAAATGAGAACATAAAACTTAAATGTAAAGTTTCATTTAAATTCATTCAGCTATTTATATTCAATCGTATTAATAATATACATGTGTGCTCATACATGGGAATAAAAAAAAATTTCTTTTTTTTCAATAATTAAAATATGATCAGGAGGTCTTAAAACGTGTATTTCCGTAAAATAAATTTTACAAAATTTTTTTTTCATTATGGGTACTTTGCTTATGTGCGCCTACATAGGTCGGAAAGTAAAAATGCCTGGGCAGTCGAGAATCTCGGCTCGAGAATCCAAATCGTATGCCGTTGACGGGAGGTCGGATTTCAGTTGTTTAGAGCGAGAAGGCAAATGTGAGCCTTTCTCTCTCGACTCCCACGAGGCGATCCGAAATTACTTCGGGCAGCTTCGGAGAATCGAGAAAGAGGGCATGCGTCAGTTTGCCTTTGTCGACTTTCCGAAACTCCACGAGCTCATGTACGCGTATCTGGCATGTGTGCGTGTGCACCCGGCGGTGCTTTTCTGGCATCTCTGATTTAAGGGTAGCTTTTCTGACGGGGAGAGAGATAACAACAAAAAGTTTGAATCGGTTACCATCATATACACATTTTTTAAACCAGGAAACAAAGTTAAACAAGAAAGGTGAAGACCGCACTGTAGTAGACTAAGATAGATTATTAAATATTAAAAATAGTTAATTGTATCTCAATTATTACACCAACCACCAAATATTCAAGCGCTATTAAGTTACCGCTTGAAGCGCATCACAGAACCAGAAAAAGATAAATGTGCGCGCTGAACAATTTTAATGAGTCAGCGTTTTTTTAAATTGCTAAACAAAGAGGACAAATAGGACAGTATTCTCAAATATTTTCCGATTTAAAAATTAAAAATTTTAGTGAAATTTATTCGGTTGTTTAGACCCAATAGTATTAATAGTATAAATATATGAACGCACGTTCATAAGCATAGTAAAAAAATGTCTTTTTTTAATAGTTAAAATATGATCAAGGGGTCCTAAAACATGAAATTTTTGAAATTATTGTTTCATTATGGTATTTTGCTTATACATTGTATACGCCTACATAGGTCGGAAAGTCAAAAATGCCTGGGCAGTCGAGAATCTCGGCTCAAGGTTATGCGAGATCGAATTTCGGCTGTGGTAAGAGCAAGAAGGATAGACTGACATTCGCCGCCTTTCTCGAATCCTCGAAGAGATACGAAACGCCAGGACTCATATACAAGGAGGTTGGCATTAGTGTGTGTAAGTGGAGGGGCAGCTCCCTTTGGGCACGGGTCTGCCATCTGATAATACTGCACTGTCTTTTTCAATTCCCCCCATAGTCAACTCACATGTATTTACGCACACATTCAGCTGGCTGCCCATTAATACTAATTCAGTGCCTAGTTTCTCAACTAACCGCCATCCATGAGAAGAGGCCGCTAAAATCACCTCCGAATTTTCAGGTCGGTATGGCAGTCAGATTCGGCCGCGAAAGTCCATAAGGTGAAACGTCTATTCATATATCTCGTCTGTGGTGAAACGTCTATTCATATATCTCGTCTGTGCCATCATCGTCGTACAAACTGAAATACCGACCTCGTAAAATGATTTTAGCACAGGCGTTGAATTCAATTTAGTTTTTCGATCCATTTCCCTGGGGCTCTAAAGTCCCATTATCACTTTCACAGACGAGATATATGAATAGACCTTTCACCTTATGGACTTTCGCGGCCGAATCTGACTGCCATACCGACCTGAAAATTCGGAGCTGATTTTAGCGGCCTCTTCTCATGGATGGCGGTTAGTTGAGAAACTAGGCACTGAATTAGTATTGATGGGCAGCCAGCTGAGTGGGTACGTAAATACATGTGAGTTGATTATGGGAGGGATTGGAAAAGACAGTGGAGTATTATCAGACGGCAGACCCGTGCCCAAAGGGAACTGCCCCACCACTCACACACACTAATGCCAACCACCTTGTATATGAGTTCTGACGTTTCGTATAGCTTCGTAGATTCGAGAAAGGCGGCGAATGTCAGTCTATCCTTCTTGCTCTCACCACAGCTGAAATTCGATCTCGCATATTCTCGAGCCGAGATTCTCGACTGCCTAGGCATTTTTGACTTTCTGACCTGTGTAGGCATATACAACGTATAAGCAATATACCATAATGAAGAAAAAATTACAAAAATTTGTTTTTACGGAAATACACGTTTTAAAACGATAATATTTTATGAACATATTTTAACCCTTTGCACTCGGTCGTCCCCTCTGAGGGGACATGAAAGTTTATTAGTGATTAAGGAGAATGAACTGATTTCACCGCAATTTTTTAAGAAACACATGTTTTCCTGTACTTTCCTATTAAAATGGGAAATATTCTATTAAAATGAGAAATATATCAGCCGTTTTTACGTTGGAAGTGGAAGGATTGTCGATGATGGTCAGAGGCGTATGGTCGGATTCAAACACGTGGACAATAAACGTAACTATATAAACTATATTATTTAATGTTTACTGAAATTATTTAACATAAAGAACATAAAACGTAAACGTAAAAAACTATAAACGTAAAATCGAAACTTCATTCAAAGTCGAACCATTCCTATTGCTATCTTCGTTATAATCTAAATAAATTAACGTTCTTTGTCGGACAATAGAATGAATAATAAGCTACATATTCCAAATGTAGACCAAAGAAACCGGGACTGCATTATTTGTTCCGACAGGAAAACACCAGGAGAAAGACGTCAAACAACATTTTATTGTGAAACATGTATAAATCAACCTATGTATATTGGGAATTGTTTCAGAATTTACCATACCATAGAAAATTATGAGAAATAAATTTTTATTTTTTATTTTCTATAGATACATCGAGGCGGCCGGCAATGAATGCGTATAACAGCTGTGCTTAAAAACTCGATTTGTGTAGCCGGCCGCCAAACGGCGGCCACGCATTCATTTTCTAATTCAATTTTCTTTATTGATATTATCAGAAGTGGGAAAGATTTCAGCCATTATTTCGACAAATTTAATTATTAGATCATTAGCATGATATTGTCGACGGAAGAAGAATTCACCTAAATAGCCTACATAATGTATTTGGCGAGTTCCATACTTCAGAAAATTCGAACCTTTGACAACAATGCAGAACTAGATTTAGCTCGACACATTATACATTATTTGTCGTCGGTTGTTATGCCGACTAATACAAACAAGAGAAAAAAGCAACGATCGTGGACTGATGCAATACAGAGCCACAGATATGTACATATAGACAGAATTCATTGTAGTAGTAGCGATCTTTTTGAAGAAAAATCTCGGAAACTAAGGCCGAGCGGCGGTTATATGTATAGGAAAAAGTTGCTCAAAATGTTGATTTCTACAACATATTCAAAAATCATCGAAATCGGTGAGACCCGGCCTTTTCTAAATAATTACCTCATTTTCTTTCAATAATTCTCCATTGCAAAAATTCTACAGTATTCTTACATTTTTTTATATTTTAAAATTTTCCCATGTTATTAGAAAGTAGATATACAATGAAAGTTATACAATTTATAGTTCCTAGCATGTATAACATGTATATGTATATAACGCATGGTCGCTTCGTATGGAAAGTCAATGAATCTTCAAAAAGCGCCCAGGTCCGATTTCGAGAAATGTAAGGTCTGTCGGTCACGATGGCTTTTGTCGTTTACTGACGATTCGAACGGTTGGCGATGCCAGGCTTGCTTTCGAGAAATGTAAACGACGTCAACGATGCAAGAGCGAGAAGGAAAGCGAGTATCAGCCTGTTCTTCTCGGCTCTTTCGAAACTCAACGAGCTCACGTACACGCAATTGAGCATAGTGTGCGAAAGCGAGGAATGAGGAGTTTCCGGGGGCCCGATGCACAATCTGATTAAACTGATTTCGAGTCGCAAATACGTTTCTGCCGAGTTATTTTTTTAATAAATGATGTATTACAATTTAAAATAAAAAATAGAGAATTTGCGGTGTACGTATCAATGAAATACATCCTTATGAATTTTAATAATCTTGAAATTTTTAAATACTCTACATGGATTGATTTCTCCAATGAAATTAATCGATTAATGTCCAATGATGGACCCTACAGCTTTAATTCCGTTAAAAAATAATAAAATTTATGTAGTTTTATTTTCTGTCTCACTTCCTCTTGTGTTAAATTCTGAATCTGTTGATAACGTAGCGAGTGACACGAAAATGGTAATGGGGTCCCGGGACCCCAGAAACTCCGGCCGAAAAATTACATTACGTGAAACGTCTATTCATATATCTCGTCTGTGATGATGGGTCTATTCTGTATTTGGTCTATGGCGATACTGCATGTTACTACAAAATAATGGATTTTTGACGGTGTTATTTCATTATACCTATAAATTAGATCTAAATACTCAAATACTGCATGGAAAATGTTCGATTTTTTATTTGTCTATGTAAAAAGAAAATATATACATCATAAACATGGTATTATCACTGTTACATACGGGTGTAGAATGTCATATGTTGTATAAAGATATAATACATTATAAAATTTAATTTTATGTATATAATATCAAAATAAATACCATCCATATCAAACTTTTGTTAGCTATGCTTGGATTCAAAATGGCGACCTGCTTGGTAGTTATCTTACTCGTGGAATAGGTTATACGACATAAGTCAAAATATTTAAAAAAATATCTAAATAATCCGGTTCGTTAAGGCTACGAAAACAATATTATGATTACGTTGAAATAATTTATTACTTTGTGACGCCTTTTAATGTTCTATTGATCGACGAAAACTTGGATAATGGCTGAAAATGTTGCTCATTGCGATGACGAGTTTTTACGTTCCATCAAAACACTTCTCTGGGGTAGCACTGTCAAAGAAGATGTCTTTAAACGGTGGGCTCAAGGTAAGTGTATATTTAAATAGTTTTTTTAAAGTTTTCATTGTTTGATGAGTATTTTGAACCAGGTCTATTATTTCTGGAGTATAGTTATATCAAGTTCATTTTAATTGTTTATCGTAAAGAAAAATGTTATAGGATGGAAAAAACACGTTGATTTACTAATTAGTTATTTCCTTATAACTAATTACAATATCAGTTTTTAAATTTATTTAATACATTTTAGAAAATCAAAATGTCAATCCTGTTGCAGGACTCAAGCCATTTCTTGAAAACAAAGAGATTAAATGTAATGTAGTTTTGTTTATCTTTGAGATAAAAAGAATAATTTTCAAACGATTTATATACATAATTTTAGAAAAGCTAAAATATATGAAAGTTCAAGTTAATATATATTAAAAAGAGTTCTTGTTGAATCTTGATATAGACAAGATATTAAATTCACCCATACAGGTTAATTAATGTTCCCTTATATAAATTGCAGAACTTTAGTTTGCGATAAATATTTTATTTTGGTACTATTTACTTGTTATTTTGTTAACCTTTTAACGCATTTCCCACAACATACGTGCATTTGAATAGCACGTACAAACATGTCAATAATAATAATTTTGAGCAACAGTCACTGTCTGTAGTTTACTTATTTTAGACATTGATTTCTACATTTCACTTCATGATATTTTACAGCAAAAATATACAGTCTGTTCTGAACATTTCTTACTTTTAGTTTGACGAATCAAATGTTAGCATATTTAATGACTTGGCAATATGTGTAATTTTATTGTTTTTTATGACAGCAAACATTTGTAATAAGAATATATGTAAGTTTAAAAATGCGTTTGTTTTTTTAGTAAATAAAAATTAATTTTCATCGTACTTACATTTTTGTTGTAAGAAAATTTTCATCTTGAATTTTTATAGACTAAATTGAAGTAAACAGTGTTTTTGGGAATGGATGCAAGATTTTTATAGAAATTATGTTGATGATAAAGTGTTAAAGTAGTTAATTTAATTTTTTTTAATTTTCATTTAATTTGATTTATTTAATTTAAAATTTTTTATTTCTCCTAGCTACCTATGTATGTATTACCATTTGGTAATAGAGTTCAAAAAATAAATTGCTTCATCTTGTATAAGTGTATAATAGATATTTTAGTAAGTGTTTTTTGCGAAGATTGAAGATCTTCGTTTTCTAATATGAATTGAATTTTTAGTTTTATTTTGCAAATACATGTTAATATTCATTAAATTCATAAAAATATTAATTTTACATTCTGTTATATCTAATCTCTCCTTCAATAATATAGTACAAATACTTTGCAGATATTTAAAAACGAAAATCCTTTGTTACAATGGTTCTGGATTATACTATAATGTAAATAGAAAACTAGATCATTTATTGTTGGTAAAGTAAAAAAATCATGCATGGATTAACTAATATTTTTATCTTTATCTGACATAATAAAGTTTCGGGTGCTAGCTATTATATCTCACTTGCACTTCTCTTTTCTTGTCTCCGTTGAATTCTGAGAAATAACCATGGCCACTTAAGTGACCGCGGTCGTTCCTAAGCGCGGATATTTAAGGGGGCACTACTGTACCGGGTGTTCGGCCACCCCTGGGAAAAATTTTAATGGGAGATTCTAGAGACCAAAATAAGACGAATAAAAAAGTTATTAACGTTTAAAGCTCCGCCTGTAGAACGGCAATTTGCGTGCATGCGATAGTGGTTCTCACTCAGCATGAGAAACTCCACTTAGTGACGTATCGAAAGCCTTACAGTTTTTTTAGCGAGAACCACTATTACGCGCACACAGCTGTTCGCAGATTGCCGTTCTACAGGCGGAACTTTAAACGTTAATAACTAGACTGCGGATGTTTATGCATTTATGGGAAATTTTAATCCTCAAAAAACTACAGAATGCATTTAATATGCAAAAATATAAGAAATACTTAAAGTAAGATACGAATTATTATATGTAGGGGTTGAGACAGCCCTCTGCAAAGCTTCTGTTTCATTAATTCTATTAATAAAAATGTGAATTTGCAGAAAGATCCGCAGTCTATTAATAACTTTTAAACAAAGCCTCAATCAATAAATTGATGTTCTTGATTTTCATCTTATTTTCCCCAGATGTAGCCGAACACCTTGTATATCTTTTTAAAGATGGGTTCGATAGTATTTTCAAGTATTATAATTTAAATTCATTTTTAAAACACGGATTAAACAGTATTAATACATGTTTACAAATAGCAATGCTTACCAATGATGAATTATCACCAATTACTGAGCATAATTATAATAGAAATCTTAAGTACTTAGCCTTTCAGCTAAGCTATTATGTTTTAAGAACGAAGCATTATCTGTTAACATTATTTAAATCAATAGAAAATGGGATCTAGACTACTAAATTATTTTTATTATTTAATTATTACTAAAATAAAAATTTAATGACACATAGAAAATCAGATAATAGAAAATATTTTCAACGAAATTAGGAAGAAGTTGTATAATTAGTGTAATTTGCGTTGATTTATTTCAGGGTTCTATTTTAGTCCAGATGAACCTACCGCATTAATACAAACAGAAGGCGGACCCTGCGCAGTAATAGCACCTGTTCAAGCTTTCATTTTAAAGCAGCTGCTTTCTGAAGTTGATATTTCAACCTGGAGAAGTATAAATTTAGACAAATGTTATCAGCTTCTTGTGCGAGCTGCTGTGGAAATTTTAAAGCAAGTTGCAGGAGAAAACGGTCCAAAGTTTTCTATCGTGTATATGGCGTGTCAGTCTGCAAACGAAGAAAATGAAGATAAAAGTAGATGGTCAATAAAAGTGTCAAAAATAGAAAGCGAAGATGAAGAAACAAATGTAGAAAATAAAGAGGTTGATAAAAAGAAGGACAAAACGTTAAACAAAGAAGCGAACGAGGATACCAAAAGCGTGCATCCTGATGTCTTTCATTCTCAGTTGAGGTAAGAAATAATTCTTATTATGTATGATACAATAATAACTATAATATAAACACGCATTTAAGTGGGCACTACTGTAATTATCTTTTAAATATGTACATACATAAACAGTTTAACATTTTTTACAACAATAAACAATGTTTTAGGTTATTTACAACGAATGTTTCGGAACATGTGGAAGAATTCTTATCGGAGAGGTTGGAAATGTTGAAAGACCGATACGGTATCTTATTGCTTCTTTATAGCGTAATTGTTACAAAAGGTGTTACCGAAATTCATCTTGAAATGCAGGATTTAGAAAGTAATGATTTAGAAGCAATGATTGATTCAACATATGGTTACGGTAGTCAAAGTCTCATAAATTTGATACTTACTGGCAGGGCAGTCAGTCATGTATGGGATTATGATCAAACCATTGGAGATCTCAGTAAGACATTTATTACATAGTGTGATTTAAATACTAAGCCAATATATGCACTGATAAAACATTGTCTGGCTAAGAAGTGCCTATGCTTTATAGACTATTGGGAGCACGAAGCCATGCAAACAAATATATAAATCAATACTCTCATGGTTATTCAAAATTTCGTATCAATACAGTTTTGTACTTTATGGATTGTATATGGATTCCTGCGACCGAATGAATATGTAGGCAGATATCAAAATTATAATGTATAGTGTTTGCTTTGCGTCGAGTGACTTAATTGTTCTTTGGTTTTACAATTAATAAACACTCCATGGTGGGACATTTCTCTTACCAAAAGGGTTTGAAACGTTTTTTAACTTACACTGTATGTGTCGTATTTGAAAAGCTAAGTGACTAAATTTTACGAGATCAGCAATCATTATTTTCAGACACAATTTAATGGCCATAAATTACAATGTTATTTCAAATGCACAAAATATTCCCTACATGTCCTACCGTTACTATCTTAAGGGGCTAATTAAAGCGATGAGCTGAGAAATAAAATCATTTCTGATGTAACTAATTTGTTAATTACAGAATTGCGAGGAATAGATAAGCAGAATTCTGTAGGATTCCTTGCACTTCTTGAACATTTACGTTACTGCGAAGTGGGGACGTTCTTAAAGTCTCCATCACATCCTGTTTGGGTATTGGGTTCAGAAACGCACTTGAGCGTCATTTTCTCTACTGAGAAAAGATTGGTGAGTCCGGAGACACCTGCAGAACAAGCAAAAAGAGTTTTTAGAAAGTTCGATCACGAAGGAAATAATTTCATTCCTGCTAGCCTGTTGCAAGATCTTCTTGCTGAACTCGGTTTAGTCGCAGATGCAGAGTAGTAAGTATTACTTCTGGAATATTTTTTTTCGATGGTGTATATTTGTATAAAAATCCATTGCAAAAAAATAAGAATGAGTAAAAAAAAAGCAACATATTGTTTTTATGATCATGTATATTAAATACATATTTGCAAATTATTCTGCGCGGTGTCTAAGAAAATTTTAATCGTGTTTTTCTTGCAACATATCTTAATTAATGGAGAATAAAAAATATTAATATTAATTTAATTACATCAACTCCGTTCACATAAAGTCTAATTTCTTTTACAGCGTTGATATAATGAGGAAAAAATTGGATAGCGAAAACTTGGGGATTATTTTACGTTCTTCCTTTATGGATGAATTCTTTCCCGAGGAATCACGGACTTGTCCCGACATATTTCCGTTATATCATTATAATGGCCTTCAACGTAGCAACTTCGAAAATAAAGTGATGTATCGTAAAGGTCAAGCGGTGTTATTGGAATGTACAATTAAGGGTATTTTGGAAAGCAATCCCATGTTGACAGTACTTCAAACAAAGTGGCCCAGAATCGAAGTCCAATGGGACGATGGACAGACTCCGAGCCTTAATTAATATGTGTTGCTCAGATTGTATTTTTAACGATATTGTTGGAGTTTCTATATAAGGAAACCAGTGACTAAATTATAAAACGATTTGAAAAAAGTGCCGGTCTAAACAACATACAATTTAACCAGGAAGATGTTTTTATGCTTGATAAAGCTAGAGGTGTTCAGTTACAAAACTATTATTCAATGGGGGAAAAACATGTTAAAAACGTTTAATAGTAATTAGAATTGGTTTTTCCATTTTTATTACGCCAATACCATAGAAAATTGAAGTTATTCAAATACACTGTCCGACAAATTCAAACTTTCTTTCTGCCTTTCGATAACTACTGGATGATCGTTGTAGAGCTTCGCTCTCCATATAAGAATCTGGAAGCCGAACTGCTCTATCATCCTCAGTTTTTAAAAAATACGAGTTTTTGTAAAAGTTCAGGATTTTTGTCGAAAACCTTGGGTTTTTAGAAAAACTCGTGTTATTCGCAAACTGAGCAATTCGGCTTTCAGATTCGAGGCTCCACAAGAATTACCCAGTGATTATTGAAAGACAAAATTCGTGTCGGATAGAGTTATCTAAAAACGAATTTAGTTTTTTACAAACGAAATTCAAGTCTGAAATAAATCTGTGTCGCTGTTAAATAAAATTTTAAGTATACTTTGTACACTAATATCACAGCGATTATGTTATATTTCTGCAAGTTTAGAAGAAACTTGGCAATTTGTATATTATCTATTAGTTTATTGTTTTTATATAACATCAAATAAGTTATAGTTATTTGATCGTTTAATTCACTCAATGGGAGAGAAGGAACGTACTAATCAATAGAAGAAAAAGAAAATTAAATAGACGAAAAATGAGAGATAAGTAACAAAATTTACAAGATGATTTTGATTACTAAACGTGAAATTCATAAATAACGCGTTCAGTGTAATACAAAATACGAAGTGTGGTTAAATGCAAAAGAATGAAAAAGATATAAAATATGTAACAAAGAGAAATTGGGGTGCAAGAAGAATGAGAAAGAAAAATGATAGATGACTATGTACAATCTGCATAAGTCGTACATAATCTAAATATATAATTTACTTTAAAGTAATAGTCTAGTCACTTTCTACGGTTTTCAACAACGTTTTTTTTTACTATTCCTATATTTCAGGTTGAACATTATAGTTAAATCAATTTTTGTAATTTTTATGTTATTATCTTCGGCAATATACATATACATAAGTATTTTATCTGATTGGAAAAGCAGGGAAATACACGGGTACAATAGAATTTTTTAGGACTCTACTAATTAATTTTGTCCTGTCAGTATTTAATAATTTAAATTTGTTCTTTGAAACGTTTGAACGTATAAAATACATTGATTGCATCAATAACGCTGGTTTCATTGATTGACTTCGAACACCGACGAGATGGTGTGAGAGAATAAAACAAATTTGATTTATATAAATTAACGTATAGTTCTTTAAGTAACAAACACAGTAGGCGCAAGATGTGGAAATAAATGTGATGGGTTGTGCAGAAGACTCGTTCGTAAAGATGTTTATTCAACTGCTTGCTTCTTTCGCGCGAAAAGGTTCAATACCTCTCAACCAACCATCTCCTCTTATTTCCGAAATATAAAGAGTCGGAAAAGCTATACACACATTTTTGTTTTTAACGCGGGGAAATTCTCATAGATACTGGCTGCACGTGACCCGTTTGTAGGCAGTGCATGGGGCGTGGCTTCGGGGCTTCTATCCCTGGTGGCGGACTAGCTCACCATAATTTTACCCACTGCCGCTAATTTACGGCCGGCAGTTAGGGGGCACCTCATCCATAGGTTCAACGTGGCCTGGAATATTCCAAGGTCAGCATCTAAAATCGACGACATAGAATTTCTTTCCTCCGCCAAAATGGGAAAAAGGGCGATGATTTAAGAAAAGGGATCCACCCTCGAATCTTCGAAAAGGCGTTATCTTTTCCGCAGACGCGTATAAATATACCAAACAGACACGAGTTCGACACAATCTGTAGAGATAGCCACACGTCTTCGTTTCAAATAAAATTTGTGGTCCAGATATTGTGCTCACCCTTTTATAACCTTTCCTAACGTTACAAAACATTAGATTAGGCGGATTATTACAAGTAAGGTATGTTATACAATTTAGAGTATAATACAAAAATTAAATTAGCGAAACTTGTTTTTATTTGAAAAGAATCTCTACCAAGAAAGATTGAATACACGTTCGATGATGTATTTACAATACACATTTCTACATTTATTAAGCGTAATTTCAAACAAATATTGGTACAGTAGTGATTCCTATTTCCAAACATTTTAATCGTCCCATTGTTGTATGAACACCCTTTGGTAACATCGTGCTTGAATATTTTCTTACGCGCATATTATGTATATGTAAATTTGCAAATATAACCATTTTTCATCGTTTCTATCTTAGTATTCAACTACTAAACGTATCGTCTAAATAGATTCCCGATTTGTTCGTTTACTATGAACACTAAAATTGTATGTGGGCCTACTCTGCAGTATGTGGGCAAGAAACCTTTCCACAATGCTGTTAGACCTTCGGTTTTCACTATCGACGACATCATTGACACCATACCAGGCGGTTTAGAAGTGCTTTTCATGTTTTGTATCCTAAAAATTGACAGAAACTATATATTAACGTTCAAATAAATCATTCAAATTTTGCAGTAAAAGTCTAGGTTTAGTTTAAAAAAAAAAGGTAAAACAAATATTTTATTCAAATTAATTTCCGTTGCGGCTGTTCTTCCAAAAAGCCCCAGTGACCGATTGGCACTCAATTTTTGGAGAGTAGGTGGGAGGGGGTGGAAATCCTAATTATAAAATTTTATTGTGATTTTTGCAAAACATTTTCGCTCTACGCAATTACGTTCTGCCTATACTGGGAGATTCTCGAGGCCAAAATAAGACGAAAATCAAGAATACCAATTTGTTGATCGAGGCTTTGTTAAAAAGTTATTAACGTCCAAAGATCCACTATCGCGCGCGCGCAGCTGTTCGCCGATCGCCGTTCTACAGACAGAACTTTAAATGTTAATAACTTTTTAACGAAGCCTCAATCAATAAATTGGTGTTCTTAATTTTCGTTTTATTTTGGCATCTAGAATCTCCCATTAAAATTTTTCCGAGGCCGAACACCCTGTATGTATGTATACATTACTATAACGTTTTATTTTGTTATTTCTATACTTCTAATACTCGTGGAATTAATTGAAGAAAAGTATAATAGAAAGATTAATATAGTTTTACCTCGTTTTAGTTATATCAAATGGCATCGAATTAAAAGTAGTGATTAATCCCGATAACAAGGACGCCCAAAAATGTAACCCTATGCCTTCCTTCATGTTTGCTACGCAATAAATGTAATATTTTTTATTAATATATTTAGACTAAGGTTGAATGATGTGTTAAAAAATGAATTTAATTGTAATAAATTTCGATTTGAAGCTATAGTACTTAAACAAAAAATGACGTAAAATACTTATTTTACACTAAAAATATCAACGTTGGCTCGCTAATTAAGAATAAAATCACAGAAAACGAGAAAATAACATTGTATTATTTCATTTTTTAGTCGCTCACAAGTTGAATATCATTTGTGAAAGGGTGAATATGATTTGCAATAAGGTGAATTAATTATTTTTCAAAAGGATAATTTATAGTGCAAAAAGGTGAATATGATCTGCAAGAGAGTTAATTTGGAGAGAAAAACCTATAAAATTCCGAATAAGAACGATGTAAAAAAATGAAATGCAAAAGGGGTAAAATAATTTAGATGTCGTAATACATTTTGAAATGAATAGAAACTTGATTTCACTATAAGTTGCTAGCTGCGATACGTTAACGACTACTGCTCGCCCCATTGTCGCCACACTGCCCCTCCAAAGGTTGGTAATGCCTTCATCTTTAGCTATTTTCGCGAAAGCATGGAACACGTTTTTGTAATTTCTCCTTTGATCTGTAAAAAACAAATTAGAAGTTACAGACGAAAATACTAGGTATTACATCTGTAATACAGGGTGTTCGACCACCTCTGGGAAAAATTTTAATGGGAGATTCTGCAAGCCAAAATAAGAAGAAAATCAAGAATATCAATTTTTTGACTGAGGCTTCGTTAAAAAGTTAATAACAATTAAATTACAAAATTTCAAATCGTATTGGAAAAATTATTTTCGGTTGCGGAGGTCAATTACAATCATTTTTGGTGAATAGACATGCCCCCGAAATCCTGCGCATTTTCGAGAAAAAAATTCAGTACGGGTGGAACTTTAAACGTTAATAACTTTTTAAGGAAGCCTCCATCAACAAATTGGTATTCTTGATTTTTGTCTTATTTTTGCCTCTAGAATACCCCATTAAAATTTGTCCCAGGGGTGGCCGAACACCCTGTATATTAAGCGTACAAATTAGTTCTCGGTCGTTTTTTGCAAACATCAATATTTATTTAAAGATAAACGGGTGACACTTTAATCTAGGAAGTAGTTTTACTCTGCATTTATACAGGGTGATCAGCAAGTATATGTCAAAAATTTAATGGGCGATTTTAGAGGCCAAAATAATTCGAAAATCAAGAACAGTAATTTGTTGATTGAGACTTCGTTTAAAACTTATTAACATTTAAAGTGCCGCCTGTAAGACGGCAATCTGCGAATAGTGTGCACACAGCTGTTCGCAGATTCTCGCTCTACAGGCGGATCTTTAAATGTTAATAAGTTCTAAACGAAGTCTCCATTAACAAATTACTGTTCTTGATTTTTGTCCTATTTTGGCCTCTAGAATCATCCCTCAAATTTTGGAGACATAGATGCCGAACACCCTGTATATTTTTGTCATCTATGTATCGGGCAAGTGACGGATGCTTTCACGGAAGAAAGATGGCGGTTTCGCTTCGATGTAGTCCATCCATGCATTTCTTTACGTCGTCCAACGTTATTAAGTTGGGGAAACGGCCAGATATTGTAAAGACCAGAATAAATGGTAGTCCGATAGAGTCAGGTTTGGACTATAAGTCGGTATGCGGTAACACTTCCCACCCTAATGCATTGAAGAACTCCTTGGTCATTTTCACAGTATGTGGTCATGCGTTGCAATGGAGCAGTGTCACTTGCCACGTTCCATTTCCGATATATGGTCTTTTTTTCTTCAATGGCGTTACTCAGACGCATCAGTTACTCTTGATAGCGGTCTGTATTGATCGTTTCACCTAGTTTTAACCAGGGAATATATCGGTTCCGGTTTCGGTTCTTGGAAACTGATATTACATAGGCGCTGTAACTACTGTTTTTCGATCTTGCATATTGATTTCAAAACTGTTATTGATTTTTTTGATAATTTCACACCTTCATTTTGATTCGTACGGTGTTCGGGTGTCTAATCACACTTTAAAAATATTGCAAACTCCAATAAGTAAGTGTGTAACCTATAACGGATCGGTTATTCCCCTATGTACGTATAAAAAAACATGGGATTCCCACATGCGTATACAGGGTGTTCGGTCACACCTGGGAAAAATTTTAATGAGAGATTCTAGAGGCCAAAATAAGACGAAAATCAAGAATATCAATTTCTTGATTCAGGCTTCGTTAAAAAGTTATTAAAAAATTAAATTAAAAAATTTCAAATCATTTTGGAAAAATTATTTTCAGTTGTAGGGGTCAATTACAATCATTTTTGGTGAATAGACATACCCCCGAAATCCTACGCACTTTCGAGAAAAAAATTCGTTTCTGAATATTTCATATTTGACTGCACATTGACATGTTTCCCTAAAATTTCATACGAATGTTTAAAACACCATAACTTCTGAACGGATTGGACGATTTTAATGTTTCAAAATGCAAACAACGCGTACTTTGGTGAAGGATATGCAGAAATACCAAGAATGTTCGAAAAGTTGTTTCTTAACTTCCTGAAATGAAAAAAAACCCATAAAAGTGATCCAATCTTCAAACGACCATACCTCCTAGAATAGTGAATATATTTCAAGGAAATTTTTTTTTAAAGTAGTACTCATGAGCACCTACAAAAAAGTATTAGACAACATTTCCGTACAGCGTCAAACAATTTTATTAAAAATCAAAAACGAATTTTTAAGAAGGTAAGTGCCTTTTTTCGACAAAAACAACAAATTTCAAATCGTTCTGAAAAAATTATTTTTAGCTGCGGGGGGCAATTACAATTATTTTTGGCGAATATCCATACCCCCGAATTCCTACGCAGTTTTGAGAAAAAAATTCGAGTAGGTGGATAAATTGCCGTTCTACAGGCGGAACATAGAACGTTAATAACTTTTTAACGGAGCCTCAATCAACAAATTGTTATTCCTGATTTTCTTTTTATTATGTCCTCTAGAATTTTCCATTAAAATTTTTCCCAAGGGTGGCCGACCACCCTGTATAATGCAAAAAATTATACTAAAATATCAGGGATACAAATACTTCCTCACATACGATATTTTTGAATTAATGTCAATTTTTAATTCTTTTGAATGAGCGTATTTCTGAATCTATAGCTTCGGTAGCATTATTTCAGGAACGTCATTTTAACAGTACAAACTTCACTGTTTATTTTAAATTACGACAACCATAAAATCATGCATTCATTTTTTTTACAATGGTACTGGAGTTAAATAAAGCCAGTGACTGTGAATTTTACATTAATGTTAAAGTTGATTTCAAGGGGCACGAACTAATTTGTACACCTGATACGTATTTTTCAAGATTCGCACAAAATTATCTTTCGCGTGTGTGCTGAACACCTTGTAAATATTGATGATTTTTATATATTTCAATCTACTGATTTATAATATGTACAAATTCACGATTTAAATATATCAAACATTCTTTTATTTCCCTTCATTCAGTCTCATTTAATCCTGATACTATTCTTTACAAGCAAAGTTCTTTTAGGCATGAAAGAAGTACACAAAAAGTAAAATTAAAAAGATAAAGTCACGAAATATACAAGGTGTTTTATCGAAGCAAATACAGTAAGTGTTATCTTTGAACTATGTTCATGAATTAGTTCATTTCTTGGCCGCTACGAGTCTCATTAGCAGCACCTCTCGGGCACGCTTTGTGTTCGAGAGAATCGCTAGCCGCGCCCATTGCGCGATGCGTCAAAACCGATTTTGGGCCTTTGCACATGATTGACATGTGCACGCATCGATCTTCTGCGTGCCGGTCGAAACCTCGTGGCGACCAAGAACGCGACCATTAGCACAGTCTTGTCCAAACGAATTATGCCAGATCTGGCCACACTGGTCCAAACCGGCCTTAGTGCAATACGTAGTTCAAGAGTGAAAAAGTCTTTGTGTGAATAGAATCTTTCCTTTGTGTTTAATGTAATTCTCTCATGTTAATTAATACAAGGGTCAAGCTCATAAACCCCTTGCAATTAATACAATTGCAAGGGTATTATGTGTTTTGAAATAACGCATAATCTAGGCAGTTTTTCAAAGCTCAATCTCTGCTGGAAATGGCGATCAATAACATCGTCATTTTCATTAGAAGCTCAATTCACGGTTCTCATTAATATTAACTCTCTTGTGACCACTGCATTGCGTTTTAAAAATAAAGACCTTGTTTAAAATATTTGCACCAACTCATTTTTCGCGAACCGTCTACCCGATCGGCAATCTTATTTATACAGTCCACGTGTTCAAACAAACTAGGTTGACCATTGTAACTCGGATAGATCATGAATAAAAAAAAAATAATTTATGTACACTTTGTAGCTGACTTAAAGGCGTGTAAATTTCTTTGATTGAACATTTTCGTAACTTGAGCTATTTTCGAAATATTTGTTTGGACACTTATGGACAGACACCTCGTCTAAAACGAATATTATGAAACACAGTACATATCTATGAAAGTTTGAATAATATTGTTATTGCAATAAATACGTTACCATAAAGAAAGAATGATAAATAGTTAAAAACCTTTTGGTAATCTCCCATCAGCCGTCATTCTTACAAGGGCAACATCCGCCGGTGTGCCAACGAAGGCCCCTAAAGCCCCTGCTGTACCTGCCATAAGCGACAATACCCCGAAATTTGGTTTTCCAGGATATCTTTGTCTATTTAAAATTAATTATTAATAAGCATGTTATAATTTAACATTAGATTTACGGAATCTGTCAATTTGACATCTTTCAGATTCTAAACTTGAAGTTACAGAACTTATAAATGCTATTTCTTAACAATTTATGTAGAATTTGATCGATGCAGTGATACGAGTATACAGGGTGGCCCATTTAAACCGATCCACTCGAATATCTTAAAAACTATTAACGATACTAAAAAATATTTCAGGCGAAAGTTGAATACTTTTAAGAGTCACATAATCTGGTTTAAGTAAAATTTTCCTAAATAGATGCGTAGAGATTATACAAAGGTCAATTTTGTTATCTCAACTGGCGTCATATATTTTAATGCATCATTTTTGCAATGCATTTCATTTTTAATTTTGTGGGTGTTGATACTACGTGTATGACTTTCAACTCACTTCCAGTATTCCTGCATTTGATTATAAATACCAAGCCTGACGGTCGTGTACGTTGCCTGTCGTACGAGACCTGCACTGAGTCCGGTATATAATTTAAAAAATCCTTCGTTTCGAATTACTGAACTAATTATGGAACCGATCGAGGTTTTTCCCGTCTGTATTTGCATTCGATTCTTCACCACATCCATAGGATGAACTACGCAGGTTGCAGCCATTCTAGAATCCCGTAACAAACACTCGTATTGTCAAAACTTTTATAATGTTTTACGTAATTATAGTTCGTAACTCTACTGTAGAAAATTTTGACGAGAAAATAGAATTAATATTCAGCTAATTAAGGGTAGCTTCTAATCAAATTGATCGAAAGATACGTGATTTTTACGAATTTTTCGAAAGGAAACTGTACACGATAAAGTAAAAAAATTATTGAGCTTCATACTACAAAAAAACATACAATGTATAAATCAATTTTTATTAGTTATCATCTTTATCCTTGTATTCCTAAAAAAATAAGATTGCTTCGTTCGTCGTAAGAAATAAAAAAGATCGATGGAATTATTAAAATTTATCTCGGAAAAAAATTGTAATATTAAAACATTAAAGATGGAGGTTAATACCCGGAAAGTCCAGCATTTATAAAGGTGAATATCGGTGGCAGAGGTTTCTTATCCTTTGCAGGTTCACCTTTCTCGGTCATTTCCAGTCAGTTTTTAGTTCTTTGTACGTATACGTGAGTTACAAAAATTCCTCAGCTTGACGTAAAATTTCTACGTACCATAAATAATTATTAGAAAAACATTAGAGTGTGAAAATGGTTAAACTGCAAATACGGGGCTGAAAAAGTGATTGGAAAAATAGTTAACCTGTTACACGTCAAACGTTCCATGCAGTATCCATTTCCATTGTAAAAATAGTATCGATTCGACGAATTAGAAGACAGTTTCAATTTAACGAGTTTCAGATTTCATATTTAAAATTACAAAACTTGGAAATATTATTTATTAGCGATCTGCATATGTCAAATTTGAAACATATTTTAATATAATCGTCAATATGATGGGTTTCAATAAAAATATGAACAATCATTGTTCGTATATCTAGTGTTAATAATAATTAAAGTTTTCAAATATTTCACTGTTGTATATTTATATATTTCTAGTAGCTTGAGAAACTTGCTAAATATGATGAATATTTCGAAGCAATTTTTATAAAAATTTCTTTTTCAAAGGAACTTTTATCTTCGTAACCGTTAAACGTACAACATTCGATATTTCTTTATATTGATCGTAACGAATCGTTCTTTTTAAACAATTTCTTTGAAAAATATTTCCGTATTCTGCGTTCGTTTTACTTATTCTAACAAATTAAGATTCGCATCACAAAAATTGATCAGAATACTACTGTGGGGTCCATTGCTTCCCGTACTTGCCGCTAGAGGAACTGTTCCTCTCGCAAGCACTCGACCGATCTTCTATCTGCATATACTTCGGGCAGCTTCGGAGAATCGAGAAAGAGGGCATGCGTCAGTTTGCCTTTGTCGACTTTCCGAAACTCCACGAGCTCACGTACGCGTATCTGGCATGTGTGCGTGTGCACCCGGCGGTGCTTTTCTGGCATCTCTGGCTAGGATGTATAATCGACGAGTTCGCTAGCAGACTCGGGACGAAACGCCTACTCTTATCCTTTTCTCTCCAATTTATTCGAAATATTGCTTCTTACAACATATTTAAAAATGAACAAAACGTATAAAGAATAGTATCATCACAACTTAATCATTGTTTTGTGACAAATTCTGTTTCTTGTAAAACCTAAGAACGAACCCGATTCATGTGAAATACATATTTTCTTTTTGTAATTTCCAAAAAATTGTTGAATAATGAGAATTTGTTGCTGAATCTTCATAATAGAATTTTTTAATGATTTACTTTAATGATATACTAAAAATATATCTATGATTCGTCGTAATTTATAATTATCCTTTATTTTACTACTATTTCTAATAAAGGTATCGTCATTAAGACAATGTCGATACGTCATGTTAATGATGTGGAACTTATATCTATGCATGTGTTGCATGCGCGTATAGATTCTATATTTCATATTTTTAATCGTATCCAGGAAACGACAGAACCGAATGTAGTTAGAAATTAGTATTAGTGTAAATAATTAAACATGTAGGTTTAATGAACTATGAAGGTGGCGCTCTTTTTGAGTTATCTATATTCTATATGCCATAAAGTACTTGGCTGACATGTAAAGAGGTTATATTTCTTCGTGTCTATTGTATAGTATAGAATCTATACTATTTATATTGTTTGTGAAGTTGTAAACAAGTTTTAAAGATAGTTTCACCGCCAAAAACACGTAAAAGTGTAGAAGAAATAGTACACAAGGCTAAATTCCATTGTTGGTGAATGTTATCGAATTAATAAGCTTCTATGACAGTAGATTGTCAAAGTATGTCCAAAACATTTCACGTCTATTTCATTGTTATTTTAGTATTATCGAAGAACCGTAGACACTATATAACTAAGAAAAAATAATCTAAAACTAGCGGCCTAGATTTAGAAAGTATCTTAAAAGTAGTAAATGAAAATATTAGTTTACTAATTTGTTTTTAGAAATTTAAGGGAAGGCAATGGGTGCAACGTCAAGTCGGTACGACGATCTGTCTAAAAATGTTTATTTGGAAAGGTTTTGTGGGAAAAAGAGTATTCTTCCAAACGATTCATTCTGGGATACCTTTTTATCCTACAATGTGCGCCCGCCTATTACGAGAAACGATCAAATAGAGTTAGATTCCCGGTTGGACTCGTTGTGCCAACAATTGCTTGCTAACAATTTAACCACTGGCAATTTTGGCACTTTGATACAAGTTGTTCTTACACGTGCCAGCAACTTGCTCGCATCTGTGCAAAATCAGAAGTATGGTATACTTTTTTTTAAAGAATTTTAGAATTAAGGTTGAAAGTATAAACAGAAGTAGGAAATATTCATATGCGTATTATACTTAGTAACAATATATTCACAGAATCATATCCGCATGGCAAACATATAATGCATTGTTCGCTGTAAGATGTATAGTAAAGTATTTGATTGAAACGGTTGGCGAAGAAGAAATGGTAAAACATATAGAAGCACCTGAATTACCTGTGCTAACACAGTCGAATTCGTCGTACAGATTAGAAGAACTTTTCGAAGCATTAATCGACATTGTAACAGATGTACCATTATGGTAAATGGTTTATAATACTTTTTAATATATAGGTTCATTGATATTTTTAAAATTTTTATACACGTTATTAGAAAAGTTTTAAAACTTTACTTTCTTGCACAATCGATTTAAACAGATGTGACATAATATTTCTTTATTATCAGCTAACTGTAAAAAGTAATATATTTTATATGAAGATTTTGTCTTAACAGTGAATTCACGTATGTTGTCCATCTAGAAGCGATAAATTGCTTGCTAGTTCTACTTTCTGTACAACTGTTTTCACAAACTGCAGCTGAGTATAGCAACATTTACAAAATAGCTATGCATTCGCATTCTAGCGAACATGCACCCGCGATGGTGTGCACGTTATTGCATAATTTTGTACAGCAAGAACATGCTCCTCCAGGTTTACTCGCACATCAGCCAGGAGGAAGTATAGTTTTCAGTATAGCTGGTACGTTATACAATGAAAATAAATTTACCATTTCGTATGCGAAAAAATATCAATTATTTTTTAAAGTAATGTTATTTCTATTTTCAATCTAAATAATGCAATAAATGCATGATGTACCATATGATATAATTTTATCTATTGAAAATGGAGCGATTTATCTATCCATAATTTGTTATGCAAAATAAATGATACATTTTTCAGCTGGATTGTGGAATGTAATTACAATGGGTATGGGTAGTAGTTTAAAGAATGTGCAAGTCACAAGTAATGGTATTTCTGAAGAGGAGGAAAGAAAACGTGATACAGAAACGCCTCTTGCTAGTCAGTCTTTATTATTGCTATTAGTTTTGACGAATCATTGCACCGCTATGCAAAACCCATACAGAAATGCACTATTCGCATTTGTTGATATGGAAGGTTAGTGTACCCAAACCAATAGTAAATCTATTAGTTTGATACATAAATTGATTTTAAAATTTTCGTATATTCCTTTAGAAGACTGTATTTCTGCGACGAAAACGAAAGATGCATTTAGGTTTAATTTGAATAAATTGTACAGTACTATATGTAAAATACCAAACACGGATGAAGTTACGTTATTATTATATATGTTGCTACATAGAAATTCGAGCGTAAAACAAGACATTATGAGAAGACCAGATATACAACTATTGGTGAATATAAAATGATTAACTCATTAAAAAAAAAGAAAATTTCAGATTATCATGATTACGATTTGAGTGAAAAATAAATCTCTAAGGCGATGATATTTTTTTTCGCAGGTAATACCAATATTGCAAATATTATATTACGCTCCAAACAATACGTCTCATCATATTTATATGTCTCTCATTATTCTCCTAATTTTAAGCGAAGATGAAACGTTTAATAAGAGAATACATGAAATTGTAAGTGCAATGTACACATTAAACAATTTCTTTATTTATAATGATAATGAATTTTCAGATGCTGAAAGGTGTAAGTTGGTACACGGAAAGATCGATAAGCGAAATATCGTTAGGCGGTTTACTAATTCTCGTCGTTATAAGGACAATACAATACAACATGTTTAAAATGAGGGTAAAGATGTATACTGTGTAAACAAATAATTATTGACACGCTATAAAGTGGTATGTATATGTTATAGGATAAATATTTGCACACAAATTGTTTAGCGGCTTTGGCAAATATGTCAGCGCAATTCACGTCGTTACATCCTTACGTCAGTCAAAGATTATTAAGCTTGTTCGAAACTCTTGCAAAAAAACACGTTAGACTGGAATCGAAAATACACGCACAACCTTCCACTTCTTCTGATACCATTATTACAGTAAATGGAACTACCACAAATACAGATTTGGTAAGAATATTTTGCTGTGTCAAATAATATACAAAGAATACTGTAGCCAAAACGAACCATTTTTATGTGTAATCTATACATGAAATTTGTTATGTTGCAGATTCAAGACTTAACGATTCTCGAAGAAGTACTGCGAATGGTATTAGAAATCATAAATAGTTGCTTAACTTATAGACTCGCACACAATCCAAATTTAATATACACGCTTTTGTATAAGAAAGATATTTTCCAACCATTCAGAACACATTCAGCGTTTCAAGATATTGTACAAAATATAGATTCTGTGAGTAGAACGAGCACAATTTAAATTCTTTATCAATACATTAAACAATAACGAATAAAATTCGTTCAGGTCATAAACTTCTTTTCTTACAAATTGGAGCAAAAGGATCAGTCGCAACTTGGAGTTAGTCAGGTATTAACCACAATACAACAAGGCACCAGCGAATGGCCACGCGACCGGTTAAGGGTATGTAGAAATACTTGTTTCTTTAAAGCAAATAATACATATAATTGCGAAAATTGTACGTATTTTATATAAATCTCAAAAGGTTTATAAGAAACTATTTTATTTATATATAAAATGATAGATTTAAATTGATTCGATATATTTAGATAGTACGTATTTTCTTTCATTCAAATTATTACAAAATTGTCAAAGTAAATGCAGAATGAGAATCTATAATATTCTACCTTGTAAATAATGATATCGTATTTCTTTTTATTACTGTATAATGTGATTGGTGTTTGTGTATTCTATAGAAATTTCCAGAGCTAAAGTTTAAGTACGTAGAGGAAGAACAGCCAGAAGAATTCTTCATTCCTTACGTATGGAGCATAGTTTGTCAAAGCGCACTATTACATTGGAGCGCAGAGAATATAAAATTATTTTCGTCTCACAGTGGCGAGCAAACAACGATTATAGTTTGCTGATATTGAGGAAAAAGCTGCTGCTCGCAGTAACTATACGTAATAGAAACCAAGTAAGAAATATGCGAGGCAATATTTCGCAACAGAACACTTATTTGATACAGAAAGGAAACACTATTTTGATTATTTATTGTAAAAGTAAACGAAAGAGGGTAAAATAGAAGAAAATTGTTTAAAAATACATATTCATTTTACGTTTGGAATCTATTTAACGGTATTTGTCTTTCGCCTTTGTCGGTGCTTCCCTTGATTATATTATTTTATTTTGATAACAGTCTTTGATCGAGTTTAAAAACAGTAATACTACGAAATATTATAGGGTGGTTTAATGTTTAATGCATGAGCCTAATTATGGTATTATAAAGCGATTGTGGTTCGTGAATGCTAATATAAACGTATTCGCTGTACAGTAACAATTAAATTCGATATCATAAGATTATGTACTACTAAGACTGGAGTTGTTCAATTTATTACTATACGAAGGTTGCATTATTATAGAAGTATTTAAACACAACTAGCAGATAAAAATATTTAATTAGAGCGTCGTAAAAATGGTAGTAAGTAAAATCGTACTAGTTTTCCATGTCCACGAATGTTCTCGTAATTTCTTCAAGCTATAGTGTAAAGAAATACAAATATTTAATATTTCAATGGCTTGCTTGTTATTATATAACATTTCTAATAGCAATAATATTGTTGAAAACTTTATAAATAGTAATTATAAAAAGAAGTATTTTAAAAAAATCGTTGCAAGTTTGAAGCTGCGATTATTATCGATTGGCATAACAATCAATTTGCTACGATTAAATCAAACTTGCTAACTTTTTTACTTTTTATTAAATATCATATTACTGTCCTAAATCATGTTTTCTTAAAACCAAAAATTATAATGGAATAAGTGGCTTAATATAGTGGAAATTAGAAAACTGGACATGGGTTTTTTATTCGATAGTGTGAATGGCTGGCCTAGTAAAACCTGCGGTAAACATGGCGGACCAATAGAATTCTGATTTCAGTACTGTTTACAGCTACTCTATCTTTATATTCACTAACAAATTGTATATTTTTCCATTTTGTTATGAAAATGATTTTAGACCAATTCCCTCTCTATGAATTTTACCAGATTTTTATTTATGCAACATAAGTCATATTAAATATTAACATGCTTTATTTAGAGTAAATTGTATTTAGTGTTATTAAAAATAACTGTAAGCGAGACAATTTTTATGTATTTATTGGCAAATGATGTAAACATATTTTTATAATTGAGCCAAATTTATATTAACTATAAATAGAGAAATCAGATTTAAATTGCAATCGAAATCAGTATTTAATTCTAGAATAACCATAATAAAGAAAGCAGTCATAAATAACTAAAATTATAACAACGTAGATCGATACACGTATGTAAAATAATTTTTTCTTGCAAAACCTAAAAACTATAAAAATTGTTATAGATTTTAATTACGTGTTAATTAACATTATCCGAGATATAGTGAAATATATTTCGCTGGTTACATATTTACGTATACGTAAAATTAAGGGAAAATGAGCGCCCCTGGCGGGCAAAAGCCAAACGTCAGATTGCTCGAGAATTATTCGGTCGTATAAGTTTCTTTACCTTTTCGTTCTGTTTCTGCTGTTGAAAATTCGGTTCCGTCACTAAAAGAAAACTTGGTGCGTGCATTATGTGAATCAAAAGCTCATAAACGCCGAATCGCGTTGGAAATTCTCGAATTTATCTGTATTTGTTTTCGGTTTCCAAGCGGCCCGGAATTAACGCGCCGCCTGGCGGCGAGAATCGCTATTAGTTTTTCAGGCGAATCGATATTCTGCTCAAATATTGACTTCGCGATTGTGAGTGGTGTCGCAAGCGAGTCCGTACAGTAGACGGCGATGCTCTTTTAAAAAGCGAGTTCTAGCGAGTGATAACGTCGAGTGTTTGGCCAGAGGACCGATTAATAGGAGTATCTTGGATGCGAGGAACAAGGAAGATGCTGGCGGCCAGTGCTGTGTTTTTCGGATTGACCCTCGGTCTCTCCCACGCGAACATCCCAGCCCTCGAGTCGACACCGAGTTCCTTCAACAATCATGGAGGTGATTTCATTTCTCTTTTCTCATGCCCTACATTCATCTAAACCTTTTACAAACCCTTTATTCGGCTTGAAAAACCGCCCACGACGAATCTGTTTCATTCCTTTCGTCGAGTCGCGATTCGTTCGACAGGGTATCATTATACTATCGAACGGGTGATTCGCAGATGCAATTGTTCTTTCGCGAGCACCTGCAGTCACCCAAACTGTTATGGCGAATTCATTGACTAATCCCAATAGGTCCTTCGATACTTGTTTATGCACTCTAATCGATTGTGTCATAAATCCAGCTGAGAAACTTAAGCTATATATAAGTGTGGATTATCTATTATGGTATCTGTTATCATATTAGTCACGTTTTATGTCGATAACAAAATAGATTTGTATCGAATCGGCCTCGATGACATCGGAAACGGATTCGATTAAAATTAGATAATTGAAGTATCGTCTAATAAGACGTATGCTATTAAAAATCGAACGGTCTTATTGTTTGTAATTATTTATATCACAAATAATAATATTTTGATATATTTTCGTGTTTAAAGATCATTAATAATTATCGATACACGATATCGTTATGAATCTTTATTTTATAAGGTATATCGTCTATATGCAAATAATCGCATTTCCGTTTGGGTTTTGATTAAGACCCTGTTATCGTATTATAATTAATCATTATCACCTGTGTTTGTTATGCAAAATAGTGATCAAACAGAAATGTTGTTTTTATTGGTGCATCGTTGCAAAATATAGTTGGAGTGTGCATCGTATTATACGATAAACAATGATTTAATAATAATAAAATGAAAATTATTTGTTTTTTTTCGAAATAATTGAATTCCATCATTAATTTACGTTTATTCCGAATTTTACATAGTCGCATTATTCCTTTAATCGTGAGACTGTGTTATTAGATTACAAAAAAGAAAAAATAAATTTCCAGAGAAAAGTGTTAGCAATACTCACTGTGGGTTTTTTTTTTAACATATTATAACACTCAATTTCGAAATTTATATTTCTTTTGCTCAAACATAAATGACATTTGTCATAACAAAAACCATTAATTACTTGTATAATTTTTAAAAGCAAGAATAAGAAATTTTGTATGTAACTCATTGTTATCAACTAGGAAAACTATATTGTAAATTGAAAAACGGTTGTTTGTATAAAAATCGTGTAATTTAAAAGGGAAAATACATTAAATTTTGAATTCTTGCGAAGTTATTGCTTGCAAAGATATTTGATATCATTCGTATTTTTAACGGACCATTCACAGTACAATTCTACCGTAAAACGCGTATTTTTAGATCCTTTTTGATAATTTTTTGGCCAGGAAATATACAACTTTCTTTATCGAAATATATCATATGTGTTTATTGATATTTGTGAAGTATGTACAATTTTTTCAAAGTAAAATATTAATAATTAGCCATTTTGCGTGTTATAGAACGTAGTCGAACAAAAAAAAACGTCGTATTGTGGTTTGTGTTATTCTACACATTTGGAATGAAAAATAAGAATAAATTCTTAATTAGAATGAATTTGATTATAGCAGGTATTAAAATAAAAATAAAAGCTCAATGGTTACGAAGATGTTAACACTTTGAAGTTTAATTATCAATTTTTAAATGTTTTTTTTTTTATCACTTTCGCAGACTAAGAAAATACGACATTCGATTTATTTTAGTCATAGGATATAATGCTATGTGTGCTGATGATGTAGACCAAATTTTGTGCCAATTGGTTAATCAGATATTGAGGTATCATGGAAATCAGTTAAAACAATATGATAGAAAAACATGTTTGAAGTTTTTTATATTTTTCAAGAAAATATAACAAAAAATAGATTTCTTTTTTAAAAGTTTATTGTCGACAATAAATTTTCTTTAAAGAGCAGTCAGGCGAGATAAATGAAGTATCAATAAATCATTTAGTAAATATTTTTATACATATTGGAGATATTAAATTACGATAAAAAAAATTACTTTTTACGTAGAAACCACGTCTGTTATTAACATTAATTATTTCTATCGTAGTTTTATGCATACTTCTGTGGGTGGATGTTTAGAACGTATTTATTATAATTGTATAACGTTGGTAAAAACTATTTTACAAGAAATCGATACAAAAACAATGATTTGCCTCACATGTCTTTTCACTCTCAATGCTCGCTTACAAGGGACCAGTTTCGCACACATCGCTCTTTCGTTCACTCTTCAATCATAAAGTATACAAATTATTTAGACCAATCACTCGTGTCGCACTCATCTTTCATATAAAATATCACTCACTTCATATCTATGACAACCAGTACCACAACTTCGACGCAAATGACTGAAAATAATTGTTAATTTGTCTTACTTTTTAATGTCAAAGAAAAATGATTAAACTTGGAAAATAATTTTCAATTGTAATTTTGAAAACTGACTTTTCGTACGCTTTGCATTTAATGCGAATAACTGTGGAGATAATTATTAATGCGAATCATGTTATTGGTGAAAAATAATATAATTAGAAAACTAATTTCAAAATAAAATTTAGAAAAATAGATTTCGATTCCCATGTTAGAAAACTGTATTAAATAATGTTTGTTCGTTGTTGCATTAAACAAAAATTATAAAACTAGAAAAATGAAAAAATGAAAAAATGATAAAACTAGAAAACTAATTTCAAAATAAAATTTAGAAAAATGGATTTTGACTCCCATGTTAAAAAACTGTATTAAATAATGTTTGTTCGTTGTTGCATTAAACAATATTGTGTTTGTTTCTAGTTCCACGACTGGATTTGGATAGTCTTGAAAGTGGATATCACGGTCTAGTGAAAGAAAATGAAACTCTGGTGGAGGTGACGCCACAGATACGAGCTTTGGGTGCCAAAGTCTGTTCTTTTCGTATTGCAAATAAACATCATGGTGAAGCACCATTCGAGATCGTTTTGAAAGAGAAAGGAATGGCGGAGTTGAGAGCTCTGCGTGTTCTGAACTGCGAAAAACGGCGCAACTACAAGTTCGATGTTCAAGCGATTGGCTGCAATGGAGCACTGTCGGAAAAGTACGAATTATACATATTTTTTTGTAATTACATTAATTTATTACGGTTATGAAGTTAGATAAAGAATCTCGAGTCACAGAGTCATAATTTACATAAAAATTACAGTGAAATACTTAAAAAAATATCTGATAAATTTTTATATTCACTGCTTATGGAATTCTCTTCTATTTTACGAATTATTATATCGATACTCCTCTTCAAAATTTTTCTAATCCTGCCAAATTCGTTTAAATCTAACAAGTTAATAATTTAAAAATTATTCAATGTAAACAAACAAATTCAAAGAAATTCAAACCGTAAGGTATTTTTTTTATAGAATATCCTATTTCTCGATCCTTCATTTTGTATTTATTTCTCTAAACAATATTAATATGCGTACGGATATAAAAGTGTATATTTATTATTTTGTAACATTACGATTTTGCCATTTCCAGAAACGAAGAGATAGAAATTAATTGAACACGCTAATATTAAAATGATCGATACATATAAATAGAAATATATGTACATCTCTAACTTTAGTTTATTCACTGCTGATGGTGAATATTCTAGGGAATGATTTTGCAGACCAAAATTAACCCTTTGACTACGAAAGGCGTATACATATATGCGTCCTTACAAGTCTATTAATACAATCAAAAGACGTATATATACACATACATATACGCTTTCACAAGTCTATCACTATGTATGAAAGACGTATTATATTAGGTGTACAAATTAATAATCCAAATTATCTTAAGCAGTTATAAAATCAAGTTTAAAGTCAATAAATTTTCCCGCTCTTTTGCGGTCGTATAATGTTGGCATATAGCTAGTTAAAACAAAAGATAGTTTAGCGAAAGGCCCAACATAACCTTCAAAAGTATTCAATTCAATAGAGTCGAAAATGGCAACAGATAAGGTGCATATCCGGCACTGCATTCTTCACGAATTCCAACACGGGAAAAATGCTGCAAGAGCATGCGAATCGATTTGTTTCTTTCGCGGTGAAGGTGTTGTATCGTATGATGTGTGCGCATGTTGGTTTAAGCGGTTTAAAAGCGGTGATTTGAGTCTAATCGACAAACAACGCCCTGGAGGCCCTTGGAAGTCCGACAACGATGATTTGGAACAACTGCTCGCTGAGAATGCGGCACAAACGCAAAAAGAACTTGCAGAACAGTTAGGAGCAACCCACCAAATGATTTCCAAATGTCTACGTGAGATGGGAAAGATCCAGAATGAAGGAAAATGGGTTCCGCATGAACTCACTGCAACTAACAAAAATCAACAAGTAGCAGCGTGTCTTTCTCTTCTCAATAACCAGCGTCGAAAGTCTTTCTTGTGGAAAATCGTTACAGGCGATGAGAAGTGGATACTCTATGACAATCTGAAACGCAGAAAGTCATGGGTAAATCCTGGTGAAGCATCAACCAACATCGGTTGCAGAACCCAATCGCTTCGGAAAGAAGGTTCTTCTCTGCATTTGGTGAGATATCAAGGGCGTGGTTTATTATGAGTTGTTGGAACCGGGTGAAACAGTTACTGTGGACTGCTACCAACTTCAATTAATCTGCTTGAGTCAAGCATTGAAACGAAAACGTCCATATACTGGCAAAGGAGAACGTCCAGTGAAATTGTTGCATGAAAACGCCAGGCCACATATTGCTTCCCATACAAAAAACACCATAATGAGTCTTGGCTGGGACGTCTTGCAGCATCCGGCGTATTCACCAGACATTGCTCCATCTGATTATCACCTGTTCCGGTCGAGGCAACACATCTTATCCGATATGCACTTCCAATCAGTGGTTGAGATCCGAAAATGGCTTGACGACTTTATCGGGTCCAAAAACGTAAAATTTTTCCGAGATGGAATTCATCTGCCTGAAAGATGATTTGAAGTTATAGAATGTAACGGCGAATACTTCGATTGAACAATTCAATTTACTTTCTTTTAAAATAAACATTGAATGTGGCTGAAAAAATTGGATTATTCATTTGTACAACTAATATTATCAATTATTACTGAAAGAATGTGAAAGTTAAGTAAATTAAAAATAACTTAAAAAACTACTTATGATACGCGAATCTTCTTCTCTCCAAGAGTATGTCGGGTTAAGTGAAAATAACGAATAATAAAATTGCCTTCAAGGATTATGTAAGCGTCTGTTATTTTAAATAAATTTCGGAGAGAAGTTAGAGAAAAATGTTTTAACAAAGAAATCTTAGTTTCTCTCAAATTCTTATCTTATTGCGGCTTTGCCTCCCATGCTCGCCACCAGAAGGGGCGCGTTTCGTTCGGGCCTGCTAGTGGACTCATCGGTAAGGCTTCCTAACAGGCCCTGCCTTAGATGACGGAATATTGAGAAATCGGTCGAGGATTCTATACAGGGTGTTCGGCCACCTCTGGGAAAAATTTTAATGGGAGATTCTAGAGGCCAAAATAAGACGAAAATCAAAACTATCAATTTGTTGATGAGGCTTCGTTGAAAAGTTATTGAAAAATTAAATTAAAAAATTTCAAATCATTTTGAAAAAATTAATTTTGGTTGTAGGGCTCAATTACAATCATTTTTGGTAAATACACATACCCCTGAAATCCTACTCACTTTCGAGAAAAAAATTCGAGTAGGCATTGAAATTTTTAGACGAAATTAAAAAATTTCAAATCGTACTAAAAAAATTATAATTAGTTACAGGGGTCAATTACAAGTATTTTTTGCGAATAGACATACTCCGAAATCCTACGCACTTTCGAGAAAAAAATTCTTTACCGAAAATCTAAAGTGTGGCCCAGAAATGCTTCCCTGAAATTTCATGTGAATCTTTAAAATGTCATAACTCCTGAACGGATTGGAGGATTTTAATTTTTCAAAATTCAAATAACGCGTATTTTAGTGGAGATTATGTAGAAATTCTAACAATATTGAAAAAAGTTGTTCCTTGACACCGTGAAGTGAGAAATACCCCCTAAAACTGGCCAATTTTAAGACGGCCATAACTCCTACAATAGTAAAGGTATCTCATTGAAATTCTTTTTTGAAGCAGAGCCCATGAGTAGCTACAAAAAAGTATTAGAAAACTTTTCTGTAGAGCGTCAAACAAACGTATTAAAAATGAAAAACAATTTTTCGATGAAAGTTAAAAAATTTCAAATCGTTCTAGAAAAATTATTTTCCGTTGCGGGGGTCAATTACAATAATTTTTGGTGAATAGACCTACCCCTGAAATCCTATCCGCTTTCTAGAAAAAAATTCGGTACAGGCGGAACTTTAAACGTTAATAACTTTTTAACGAAGCCTCCATGAACAAATTAGTATTCTTGATTTTCGTCTTATTTTGGCCTCTAGAATCTCCCATTAAAATTGTTCCCAGGGGTGGCCGGAACACCCTGTATACATATAGCAACCGAGGGGTCAGTCGTGCGCTGGTGATGTTGGCGAGCTTGGGAGGCAACGCCATATTATCTTTCCCTGTATAATCGTTGTTTAAATAAATCTTAGAAAGTACTTCCAAAAGTAACAGTATTCTAATAAAGAAATCTTAGAGGTTCTCCTCAAAACGACTCTAAATTTTTGTCTTATCTTTGTCTTGTAGAGTCACCCTTTAAGTTTTTCCATCAGTGAATTATCATATAATAACTAACAAGAAACTTTGTCACCGTTAAAGTGCCTGAATATTTCGTTAAATTAAAACGACTGTTAATTTAATTTTAGTGCTACGGTGCACATAACCGTGGTGGATGTGAACGAGTACGCGCCCCAATTTCTCCAACCGGCCTACGTCAGCACGGTGGACGAAGGTCGTCTGTACGAGGAAGTAGTCCGCGTGGAAGCATCAGACAGAGACTGTACGCCAAAATTCGGTGATGTATGCAAATATGAGATCCTGACGGCCGATCAGCCGTTCATCATCGACAACGAGGGAGCCATACGAAACACAGAACCATTGGACTACGAACGTTCCCACAATTACATACTGAGCGTCGTAGCGTACGATTGCGGCATGAAACAGTCTGCTCCGGCGATGGTAACCGTAAAGGTGAACCGCGTGTGCGCGCCTGGTTGGAGGGGAATCCCGGAAAGAGTGGACTACGCGGCTGGCGTGGGTTCCCAGCCGTTGCTTCCTTCAGCGAAATTGGATCTTTGCGATGCTCCCTGCATTTTGCGTAACGTCAGAGCCACCTTGACACTCGCCACGGACCACATAGGCAAAGGTTGTGACCGCGACACGTACGGCGTGCGAAGCCAACGCAAATTGTGCGGTGCTTCCCGCGACAGCGTCGATTTGTTACCGACTCCCGGGCCTACAACCTTCTGGACAGCGTCTTTGTCCCGTGACGAGGGCAGAGAAGCTGACGAGATCTTCGAATTCGACGGCGTAGACTCCGCCGCCATTATACCTAGCGACGTACTCGAGCATACTCTGGCGCAGAAGTTCACTATTGGAGTTTGGGTGAAACACCGACCGCGTCCCAGACAGGACCCGCACGTTAAAGAACACATTTTATGCGCTGCCGACGATCATAGTAAGTCTCAGTTGTCGATCAGTTCCTATTTACTTTTGGTTTTAACGATTCGGTGGTCGTCAGGCGATTTTTCCAAGAGTCCATAAAAGTTCTTTACTTTTGGAAAGTTTTAAATTCAACGCAATTTTATTACTGAGAAAATATGCAAATGTCAGTTTCATTAATTTAATATAATTTAATATATTAATTTAATTAATATAATCTTCGTTGCAAACTATTTATGAATTTATGGGAACTCACGTTTTTGTTTACTTTGTTTGAAGACAACTGCTTTAGAAGATAGCTTTCTATACTGACATTGTAGATCAAAGCGAAGCGCGCAAGGACGATAGGAATATTATTATAAAAAATTATAAATATTGAGATACCATAATTAGTGTGAGAGATAAAACTTGAACCTGTACAAAGATAATGCATTGAACGGATGATTAACTAATCAGAGCCTAATCTGTGCATGCATACAACTATTATGTACAATTTGTTGTATAGTAGTTTATTTAATCGGATAGGCTGTGTCCGTTTCGTTAGTTACATATTTTACATGCAAGTAGATATGGTAAAATACATAAATTTGCTTATCATTAACGATGTTACTAAATGACTAATCTGTTTGGCTTCCAGAAATGAATAGACACCATTACGCCCTGTTCATTAGGAACTGCAGGCTGATTTTACTGCTCAGACGCGACTTCTCGGAGGGTGACCCGAACATATTTCGTCCCGCGGAGTGGCGTTGGAAACTCGTTCAAGCTTGTGACGACAAATGGCACCACTACGCCGTCCAAGTGGACTTTCCACGCGTGACGCTGTTAGTCGACGGAGAGGAATGGCGCACGGACGAGAAGAACCCAGAAGTGATAGACGATTGGCCTCTGCACCCTGCCAAAGGCGTGAACACGACTCTGGTGATCGGTGCCTGCTGGCAGGGTTCCGATAACAAAACGAAACACCATTTCCGGGGCTATTTAGCTGGTCTCTCGGTCCTGGTTGGTCGAAACGAGAAACCGGACGTTCTGTCTTGTTTGCGTCGTTGCCAGGAAGGGATCCGCGTGCCGTCGATGGACCTTCTGCAACCAGGAACTCAGCTTCTTACCAATTCCGACCTAACGGAAGTACGAATCGACGGGGATAATCGTACCAACGTGGAGACGCTCCTCCGTCGTATCGGGTACTCGAACTCGAGGCGGTTCCCCACGCCTGGCAGACGCAACTTCCGGCTGGAAACCACGATCGTCTGCGAGGGTAGCGAGAATAATCCGCTTCCAGTGCCTACGGTCCAGTCCTACGTGACCGTTCTGCCTCCACCGCGACCGGGAATAACCGTAAATGGCACCGGATACGTGGCCAGGGAGTACGCAGATTTTCGTCTGGGCGTTCGGGTGTTCCCCGACGCACGCGTCACGGCCGGCTCCGCCGCCAGACTCGATGCGTGCGCAGTGAGCGTCTACCCGAGCCTGAACCCCGATCACGAGAGCCTGGGTCTGCCCGGTGACGCTCTGCGCAGAATCCATTCGATCGCTGCACGTGTCGATCGCGACGGCGTGGTCCTATCCGGCGCGGACACACCCTACAACTACCAGCAGCTGATTCGTCTGATCATGTACACCAATCGCAAGCCGGCTTACTACCTGGACCGAGTGTTCAAACTGACCTGCTCGGAGCTCAGTGGCCGATTCGCCAGCAACGAATACGTTCAAACGCTCGCGGTTATACATCCTAAAGAGAAAACTACTTCTCTGCCGCATTCGACCCCCGACGAGCCACCGGTAGCCAGAATTCTAGACCCGATACCAGGCCACGCTCAATTGTCCCCCCACCACGTGGATTTGCTCGCGGAATATTCGACGTCGGTTCTGAGGGAAAGTAAAAACATCGATGGTGCGGGAGGCAGCCACGCCGTGACTATCGTGGCCGCTGCCTGCATCTGTTTTCTGCTTCTAATGGCCACCGTCGGGGCAGCCAGAGTCAGGGGCGCCGCGAAACGTCGGAGATCGGCCGGGGATGAATTGGCTGCCGAGACGGAAATGGCTTGGGACGATTCCGCTCTGGCCATTATCGTCAATCCGATGGAAAGGCTCACGGAGTACGATTCCCAGCATCCTAACCAGAGAGATGAGGACGTCGACGATTCCGGAAGCTCGGATTCCGAGGACGACGATCTGGACAGCTCCGATTATGAAAACACTCCCGAGCGGATGAACAATCGGCATCGTCACCACAACTCGCCCCACGACCTCGAGTGGGACCATCGTGACGTTTAAATTACTATTCCTTTGCGCTCTCATCCCCCCACCCCCCTTTTCTTCGTGCCGGCAATTCAGCGGGGTACTAACTCATTGCTTTACCACTTCCCCCCATTTCCGTTTGGGTTTCGCCGAAGATAATTGCGTGTTTCTTTTTTTTCTTTTCTTTCTGTGCAAATGAAAGAATTTCTTCGTGGAAAACAAGAACTTCATATACTCAGCGGAGCGAAGATTTTGATCGTTTCAAGCCAAATTTACAGTTTTAAAAACGAAACTTGGAACTGTATGAGTTTGATTCCACTGATCGATACGGTTTTTCAATCTCTAAAAATTATTGAGCTGCTTATGCTCTAAGCTCAATGGTTCAAGAATTATTTGGTAAGCTACTTTGATGCATTTAATGCATCTATGCATCTACAAAATTTACGGCATAAGTATCTCCATACCTTTTCTTAGAGATTAAACAATTGCACTGAATAGCCTGATCAAAATTATGCAGTTTAAAAAAAGAATACAGTTGAATTGTTTTAACGCATCGATGCGTAAAAATGAGTGAAACGAAGTTTTTTTTTTGTGCATCGTTTGACGGTGTTTCATTTTGCCTTATGATATTTCTTCTTATTCCTGATCGTTCTAAAAGTATACGTTTTCCCAATTACGTGAAACACCGTGTATACATATTTTCGTTTGTAGTTTTCTTAACGGAATCATGTACGTTTTTATTTTTTTTTTTAAATAAGCTTGCAATTGAACTTATTGGGATAAACGGTTTTCCTTTAAAACGAAGTTAGTTAAATGGTACAAATAGAAAAAAAAACGCAATTACTCTTAGGTCAATCTAACCTCGTTTCTCGTTCGTTGGTATTGTTCGGGTCTTGATTGGAGTATTTGATTTCAGGCAACCGATTCACCACCATTACGAAAGGTTCGTGTTGTATCCGTCCCCAAATACATGAAATTGGAACCGTGAAAACGTTAACGCACCAATTAGTTAGTACTCTTCTAAAAAGACCAGCAAAATTTGTAAGAGTGCGGGACGCTTTATCGAATAGTTTAAAACGCGTAAAAGGATTCATTTTTTTTACCGTCGATCTTCTCGGTAAATATTGGTAAACAATTAATTTATATTCACTCATTAGTACTAATTATTATTATTATTAATAATATTACTACTCTTGTTTTCATTATTATTAGTAGTAGTAGGACAGGGGAACTTTTTTTCTTTTTATACTCTTAATTATCTTTTCCGCCATTTATTTCTATTCTACCGTTAGTATTACAAATTCTAACGCTGACTCTATATACATATATATATATATATATATATTGTCAATCAGGATTTTTCGTTTATACGGTAGGACGGCCCGATAGATCGTGATCTGACGGTTTTTCAAGACGTATTCTTCCTTCTATAAATATAAAATGAATTCTTAAGTCTACGTTTGATCTCATAAATATATCTTTTGCGTATTCAAGGAAAACGATTTTTCTAAAAGAAGAAATTATCACTTTATCGAGTAATTATGCAAATTAGGAGATTCACCGCCCTCTCGAGTGGTACTATAAGCAAAACAGTTCGAAATTTGGAGAAATGTAAGTGTAGGTTAGGTTCCCTATATTTTTTATTTTATACTCGACGAACAAAAGAAAATCTTTATTTCAAGTTTAAAGCGTTGTAGTTTTAGGAATTTTTCAATAAGAAAAAAAGAATATAGAACAAAGCTCATTTCTTCGAGCGGATTTTTAAATCTACTTAAATAAATTATATTTTATCTATAATTAATTTGTTCCCTTTTTAATTATTTTAAACTTAAGCTTAAACGTATTTTATTAAATACAAACGCTTTGGGAAACAAGTTTCGTATTTTACCCAAGTGTTTTTTTTTTTTGTTAACATTTTGTTTAACAAAATCGGATTGAAATTTCGCGAACGTTACTTTGAATACTCGAAGGTCGAATTCCTTAATTTACATAATTAGTCTTTATGGAAGGCGCGTGAATCGGGTCGAACCTAGGCTATGATACGATACTTGCCCAGTTTTACGTTTTATCGTTAAGTGAAATCTGTAATAATTTTGCACAATGTTCCTTCCTAATAAATCTGTAAACTCGTCGGCGTTAGTAAGGACATTGCCGCGCATCTTACGATAGTGCTTCACCAGAGTCGGGTAAATTTTATGCCCGAATAACGAACAAAAGCTTCAGCCCCATTAGCAAACTAACTTTTTGAAGAAATTGTTAAATTATTGGTTCGTAGAATTCGTTAATGAATTCTAATTTACTAATGAAACGTGAAGAGAAAGTTGGTCGATCGATCTAAAAATTTCCATTGACGATTAACAAATAAAAATGTGGGATCCATCGACGATCCGTTAATTCGTATTCACTGTCGAGTCTAGTAATAAAACGTGGACAGGGGAAGTTAGTTTATAAAATGAAATTGTGGATTCGATGTTCTCGAATAATATTTGACCGACTCTGTGCTTCACCATTAAATACGGTATAATATCCGTATACATGTGTGCGCATGCATATAGATTTGTATGTGAATCTATTTGCGTATACAAGGCTGTATGTTAGTACACGATTCCTGTGTACTTGCATATACATACAGTGTCCGATCATTATTCTGTGGTGAGGAGCCGGTAAACACGTGGAGCGGAAAGAAAAAAAGAAAAAAGAAAAAAAAAAAGGATTGTTTTCTAAACAATGCGCAGCGATCGACTTCGGTGGTATCGTTTGTTATTTCGTTAAAACTAATTATCGTGCAATCGCTCTTTTACATAGAGAAACTGATTTTTATGTGCCTTTATGCAACTAGTACGTTAAATTCTACTCTATATTTTAATAGCGAAACTCGGACTGATTTCTCCGTCAGTAATAAATATCTCGCATGGTTAATGGCGTGCCGCTCGGAACCAAACTGCTCTACTGTTGTTGTATTTTAAACAATTACCTGTTATAAATCGCGTAGGTGTTAAGAGACATGTGCGCTGAAATAATATCGATTCGTCGACCACGGTCTTCTACGTACGATCGGTGGCTTTCTTTGGCGTGAAAACTAATCGTCGGTCGAAAATTTATCCGCAGAGTTGGCCGGTGATCGTTTCTTTCATTACTCTAATCGATCACAGTGATTGTAATTCTAGCAATCTTGCAAATTATTTGTAATCCGTAATCATTAATTAGTCATTTTTAATCGCATAACAAACGATCATTACGAGTGCCATATTTATTATTTCAATCGAATAGAAATTTAAACGATGCTCGACCAATGAGAAGGGTTTCTCTTTCGCGCAGCACTGTCGTTGCCATTTTCAAGCTCGTGTCAATAATAACGAAACGTTTGAAACGTAAATGTTAAAAAAAAAAAAAAAAAAAAAACACTTGCATATCAAAGTAAATTGCGGTAATAATAATAATAATAATAATAATAAATAATAAATATTTATTTTCCAAAAGAAATATTCACATTATTATTATTATTATCATTATTATTATTGAAAATAATAATTATTGTTTTACTTTCTACCGTGTGATTATTTATTTTAATGATTACCGATTATTTAATAATAGCATGATTTAAAATTAATCAGGATGTTGGATGATTAATTAGATTACGTTTTGACCAGCTCTGACGCCAGGGAGTGTAGCAATTGTGGCGAAATGATCTCGTGACTGCGCATTCATACTCGCTACGAAGTAATGAAAGGATCTTATGTATGTATTTCTGTATTTAGAGTTGTACCGACCGGTCGAATATTTAGTACTGAAAGTTTGTGTACGGAATATCTATATTCATAGAAACTATATGGACAATTTATTTTTCCAACGAGCATATCATATCATTTTTATAAGAGATTTGTCGGAAGTTTGAAAAACATTTCGCGAGAGCTCCTCACATAGCCCACCGTCATCTTATTGATTGCCATAATCGCGGCTTGCATTTTCGCCCTCGTTCTTCGATCCATTTGTTTCTTAAGCTCGCGTCGGTGAACAAACTTCGCTCGGGATGTTCGAAAATGTAAAAAGACAAACTCGCTACAGTGGAGCGTGAACAATTTTCCTTATGCGACACACATGTATGCGCATTTGCAAATGTTCGATTTTCGGTTCGCCTTTCGGTTGATTGTCGTTAAAAAAAAAAAATACGCGAAACAACACGTTGATTGCACAATTTTACAGAGATGCTCCGCGATCGACAAAACTTGGTTATTCCCTCAACGGTTTACAAGCATTAACACTATTTCTATCGAAGGATATCTATCAACGTTTAAAACTTGAAAATTATTTAATTGTTTCTCCTCGATAACGCGATATTAAAAATCGAAATGCAAAGCGTGCGTGCGAGATGAAACAGATGCAGGATACGCGTAGAAAAGAACAGAAAAAGATAGAAATAGTGTTAAAACCTTAAAAGTTTCACCCGCCGGTCACCGGTGACCACCAGGACAGTCAACGTGTTAGTTCAGATAAAAAATCTACCCAACGTTGAATGCATTTTACTTCTGTACAGTAGAACGCTCGGGGAAACGATCCTACATGAAAAGAATGGTTCCAATCTTTTTCTAGGAGTAACCACATATATATATATATACACACACAAATACACACATACACACAGACACGCGCGCGCGTGCGATTTATTCCGTTAAAAGCATAAAGAAAAAGAATCATCCAGTTCGCGAACTTCGATCGATGTATTTCCTCTTCGATCGCACAACGGCGCCCAAAATCCTTGAGTCTTTTACACACGGCATAAGTATAAAATGTAAAAACTGCACAAAAAAAAAAAAAAAAAAAAACTAACGCTGGCTTTCCGGAGCATTTAGCGCGGAGTATGGAATAAATAATACAGGGTGGCTCGTTCGAATCGATCCGCTCGAATATCTTTGACACTGTTGACGGTAGCGGCAAACGTTTTGGGTGAAAGTCGCGTGATTTCCGGGGCTCATGTGATTTGGTGCAAGCAACTCTTTCCTACGTGGACGCCTGGAGGTCACACGAAGGTCGATTTTTTCCCCCCTAACGAAATATTTTTCGATACACCATTCGAATCGGTATGGCGAAAAATCATTGGTTCGGAAGACATTTTAATTTTAATATTCTGTAATGGCGCTACCAACGATATTAAAATCGAATTGTCTTCGAGATTAATGCGTGTTTGCCGTATCGTGACACGAATGGTGCATCGAGGATCGAGAAAACAAAATTGACCTTCGTCGTGGCCTCTGGGTGTCCACGTAGGAAAAAGTTGGTCGCACCGGGGATCGCGTGGACCTCGAAATCGTTCAATTTTCACCGAAAATAGTCTTTCGCTATCGCGAATAGTTTCGAAAATATTCGAACCGATCGATTTAAATGGTCCTGTATGATAAAGTTCGTGGGGAAGTCGAGATTAGTATTACGGAGACGGAAGCATTCTTTTGTCACACGGTCTAACGAATCGTTTGGATGAAGATGTAATCGGAAGGACTCGTTTTTCGACGATAATCTCGAATAAACGTCACCACCGCAAACCTAAACGTGGTGTTTATTAAACACTTGCTCTAAAGATGTACTTAATTATTAATTAACGGAAAAGGAAAGAACTACGCAGAAGAAAAACCAACTAGATTATACTATTATTAATATATATTATACATACAAAAAATATATCTAAGCTGTTTGCAAATGATGATATAAAAGAAGAAAAAAAGAGAAAAGAGAACGGGAAAGAGATGATACGGTATGAATTTGTAATGTAACTATTGTATTTTGTAGGCAGCTAGCGTACGTACACATATGCACGTGTATTCGTGTATGTTTGTTTACGTATATAAATAAATAATACCATACTGTTCGACATTTACACTGTACCGTTCGCCTAAAAATAGTCCCGCAGAATATTTTCATTTTTACGGACTATTATTGGTCGCGATCGTAAATGGCGACCGTGCATCCCCTCTCCTGCCTGGAACGTTTGATCCTAATTTTTTTTAACACTTTGACGCACGCATCTTGTAAACAAAATTAAGATATAGGTATACAAGTGGGTCACAAAATTATTTAAAGTTTTATTTTAAATATACCTACCCGTTCGTTCAATGGGTTGCAATATTTTTAATAATTTTTCTTTCAAAACATGAGTTTCACACTCTTAACTAACTGAAAGGATAGTAATATTTATCTTCGACGAACGAAAATAACAATTTCCAACATGTGGTTTCTCGACCTTAAAAAAGATATATTTGAAAAAGAAATCTTTAATTTAATGGCTCGCAAAAGGTATTTTTAATGGTTTTTTTTTTCTTTCAAAACATACAAAACTATATCAAAAATTTACTTTTCAGAGCTCCGTGGGATTTCTACTTAATTACCTCTGTTAATCGATTCGCCTAATTTTTTAATATAATTAGCACCAAAAGAATCCCATTTTGATTTTCGTTTATTTTTTTAAAACAATTTTATTAGATATACAATCCAATTATGAAACGTTACAATTAAGAATTTTTTGAAATTATAATATTTCTTGTTTTTACATTTATTTTTGGAATTTCATTAACCATTTTGATACGCAATTTTGCATAAACCGTGATCACAATAAATTTTTCAATAATAAAATACATTATTTTTATTATTTAATTAATTATAAGTGTAAGGCACATGTTTTAGTAAAAACAGTAATATTAAAAATCAATAAATTGATTTCTTTTTTAAATATATGTGTAGTTCCAAATATTTTAGAAACTTAATTCTTAATTCCTTATTTTTAAATACAATAAAATATTTCTTCACTCATTACCAAACAAAGTAGAATTTTAAATTTATTCACGAATAGGTTTCGATTGTATTATTTAATTAAAAAAATTTTAAACTAATTTCTTATTTTCCAATTTTGTGCACAACATTTAAACTAATAATCGATGCCTGTATCGCTCTTATTTCCAAATGAATATGGAATTTATTAATAAATAGGAATCCATGGAAACGTAATAATTTTCTGAGCCACTTGTATATGCTGAAGAAAAAGAAAAATAAGACATATTTGTAGACGTTTGATTGAAAAGATTCTACTAAAAAATGAAGCTGAAACGAAAGTAAGCAATCTTAACGGCGACGAATGAAATGATCAGACCGAGACTAGCTTAGGCTAGTGAAGTATACATATAATACAGGCCGACTAAAATTCCCTCCCATTGCAGATTGTGTGTTAACTAATAAGATTAATTAATAATAATAATTAATAGTAGAGATTAAGGGATTTAATTATATATGAATAAAGGATACTATCTGTACGCTAAACGACGCGGAGTTATGGCAAATGGAGAGTCTGTTTATAATTTTAATCGACACACTGAGTTGCTCGGCGCACAGAAATTGTCAAATAACAAAAAATTGTTAATCAGCAAATTGAAGAATCGTTCGACGAGAGAAATGTTAGCAATAGACTGTACACACGACTTACATACAGAGACACACACAGAGACGCATATACACACGCTGCACAGGCTAGGAAAGTGAAATACTATATCTATAACGACATATTATAAATAACATTAAGACGTCAACTGTATTTGTTTAATAAAGATGTACATTCGAAAAATATTTCGAAACTGATTTTAAGCACCACTAGGGCTCGTACTTTCGTCGTATCTTTATCACTGCTTGCTAGGTAGCTCACTGCTTGCAAAAAACTTTGTTCCTTGCCGGTAATCATTATTGAAGAAGGAAATTTATTTCGGTCGCTCATAACAATTATCGACGATAGAAATATTGCTTCGATTGCACTTTCTTTATTCAAAATTATAAAATATAATTCAATTGATGTACTTATGCTTTCCATCGGTTGTTCTTTTCTTACGGAGCAACAAAACAATGCAATATTACACCATTATGATCGACCAAAATAAATTTGCCTCGTTAATAACTATTAAAATTCATCAAAATAAAAATTTCTCTCTTTAACAATTGTTACGAGCAACCGAAAAATTCCTTTCATCAATAATAATTATTGGTAAAAAAAATTGCTCCTATATTATAAACGTTATTTGCAGCTAAAACGATGAAAATCGATATTTTTCAAGTCATGTATTGTATTATACAGGGTGTTCGGCCACCCCTGGGAAAAATTTTAATGGGAGATTCTAGAGGCTAAAATAAGACGAAAATCAAGAATACCAATTTGTTGATTGAAGCTTCGTTATTAACAAAATTATTAATAAAATTTGTCCGCCTACACGAATTTTTTTCTCGAAAGTGAGTAGGATTTCGAGGTTATGTCTATTGATAGAAAATGATTGTAATTGACCCTTGCAACTGAAAATCATTTTTCCAGAACGATTTGAAATTTTTTTTTTCGCCGAAAAGGCACTACCCCCTGTTGATTTTTCTTAAAAATTCGTTTTTGATTTTTAATAAATTTGTTTGGCGCTGTACAGAAAAATTGTCTAATATTTTTTTATAGGTACCCATGGGCTCTACTTCAGAAAAAAATTTCATTGGAATAGATTCACTATTGTAAAAGTTATGGCTGTTTGAAAATTGGACCATTTTTATGGGGTTTTTCTTACTTTACGGGTTTAAGGAACAATTTTTCGAATAGTTTTGGTATCTCTACATGTTCTTCGCCAAAATATGCGACGATTGCATTTTGAAATATTAAGATCCTTCAATCCGTTCAGGAGTTATGATGTTTTAAAAATTCGTACGAAATTTTGGGGTAACATTTTTTATATTTTCGGTAATGAATTTTTTTCTCGGAAGTGCGTAAGATTTCGGTTATATGTCTATTCACCAAAAATGATTGTAATTGACCGCTTCAACCGAAAATAATTTTTCCAGAACGATTGGAAATTTTTTTTTTCGCCGAAAAATTTTCCACTTATTATTAGTATGGAACTTTAAACATTAATAACTTTTTAACGAATCCTTAATCAACAAATTCGCATTCTTGATTTTTGTCTTATTTTGACCTCTAAAATCGCCCATTAAAATTTTTCCCAGGGGTGGCCGAACACCCTGTATATTGTGTAATTCCCATGTCTAACATAAATAATAATTACGTCATCGTTAATGATTTTTTTTCATCCAAACTTTTGAAATTACTGTTTCTTACTTTGTTAAATATTGTAATTTTTATTCAACAAAGTACAGGTAGCCCTCCTACAACACGGCATCTTATAATACGGTTCCGCTATAACACGATTCGTAAATTGCGAGAACCCTCCTACAACACGGCATCTTATAACACAGTTTCGCTCTAACACGTTTCGCTAGTTGCGAAAACCTTTGTACAACACTGGATAACATGATTTTTGCTTAATAATAATGAACTATAGTGGCTTTGCATGAAATTATCTAAACAAATTATAATTTATTAAATTAAGGTTGAGTTAAATTAAAATAATATTTTTTTCTTTTTTCTTTTTGTTTTGTGTTGTACATACATTTATATTTTTCATAAACATTAAGTTGTTTATGTAGAATTAAAAAAAAAATATTTGTTTTTAATAAGTTTTCGGAATGTAACCCTCCTTTTTGTACTGGCTTTGGGTCTCATATAGCACGCTTTCACACAACACGACATTTTCTAGGAACCTATCTACCGTGTTATAGGAGGGTTACCTGTATAACTACAGAAAGAGTTTTTTTTATATTCCGAAAAGACAAATAACAAAAGACAAAAGTACATGTAAATCGAATATGAAAATTAGGATAGGCAGGTTGACAAAAGGTGAAACGATGATCATAATGAAACATGTTTATTAAAAATCTAGTATCATTTCTCTAGGTCTACAAGTAAATATCACAGGTACACGTTTCTCTATCACAATATCCTCGGGTCCCACTTGATCAATATAATAAAAATCAGTACAAAAACTCGCACAGAATCGACCGAGGAGGAGCCATAACAACGTTTCCGAGCGCCGATAAAAAATAAGAGAATACCTCGACGCAAAGAATTAAATTTCTCGGCGCTCGGAAAACTAGTTCAAAATAAACTATTCTCGAATAAAAAGTATGAAATAAACAATAAGAAAACTCTAAAACCGTCTCAGAATTAAAGCTTTCGGTTATCCTCCTGATTCCTGAACGATCTTCACCAATTTCACAAAAAAAAAAAAAAAGAAATAGACGTTTCACTTTAGTATTGAGCAAATAAGGAAAAACCGTATGTCTATTCCCTATGTCTTCATAGAACATTTTAAAACAATAATCTCGGAATCACAGATAAAATTGCAACACGTATATAAAGGTTCGTTAAAACACTAGTTGTTCGTCGACCAGGGTCTCCAGATCGGTTCGTTGGGTTTCGCGACCTGTAGGAGGCCCTGGTGCGGGTGCGAGAGGGTTTCCAAGTCCGTTCTGGCGGGAGAGGGTTGGCTGGAGGCAGGCGTCAGGGGCATCGAGTACTCGTCCGAGCTTAGGTCGCTGCTGGACGACGGAGACGACTGCGGCGCTGTCACGTGGATGGTCAGAGGTCCGGTTTTGTCCATCGAGTTCAATTTGTGGCCCAAATGGGTCATCAGTTTGGTCCCAAGGGCGACGTCGACGCCTGGCGTCGCGGCAAGACACCGGCTGACTTCGTTCGCGCAGTGCGTGTAACCCGCGCGAAATCTATCGGCGTCGATCACAGGGTTCGCCGAGAGTCTCTGTTGCCTTTGGAGCTTGTGAAGATGGCGCACAGTCAGCTCTAGAATATCGGCTTTTTCCAGTTTGGCTACGTTCTCGCCGTCGCCGGCCAGAGCTGTCACCATCAGGTCTTTCAGCTCATCCAAGCAACGGTTTATGCGTGCTCTGCGTTTCCGCTCGAGCATTGGTTTCATCACCTGAACAATTAAAGATAAACCACTGTTAGAGAGATCGTTGATTTTCAAGGAATCGGTATTAGAGCTCTCAAAAGTGTAGTTTCGAAAACAGACTAGTAATCTAGCTATAGGTATTCAAGAAACCTTCATAAAACGAGTTATAATATTTTAGAAGGTTTTAGAGATTTTGGAAAACCTAACCTTTAAAACTAATTTTCGAAAGAAATCAGAATATCCCCCCTAGCTACCATAGATTTGAAACCTTCCCAAAACAAATCGGAATATTTATAAAAGTACTATAGGTATTAAAAATCTTTTCTCAAACGAAAGGCTACAAAGCCTGACTGTAGATTTTAAAGAAACTTTCCGAAAACAAATCAGAATACTTCGTAAGACGATATAGAGTTTAAAGAAACCTTTCTCCAAAAACAAATTGCAATATTTCCCAAAGCGCCCATATCTTAGAAACTCCTACGAAAGATACTCCCAAATTTTGCTTAAAAAAAACTAATTTAAATAAAACTATAGTTTTTAAAGAAACTTTGCTCAAAACTAAAGTGTCGTAAATTTAAAAAGCTGTCACAAATTAAATGGTTCAATTTACGAAAATAAACCCTCCTCAAAATCAAATTACAATATTTTTCAAGGCCCCATAACTCTAAAAAGAAACCACCTTTCGAAGGAACGATTTGAAAAAGATTGAAGAGATCGAAAGAAAGTTCTGAAAATCACATTTCCTCACCTTTCGGTATTGATAGGTCCTAGAAATGGGCTGCTCTTGTCCGTCGACCATCATGATCTGCTCGTGCATCTGCATTTTTAATCCTCGCTCGTTATACTGGCGTCGTAAATCACACAACAATTAATAATGTTCACAACGTTCCAATGTCTGTAATATCACACTCGTCCGAAACCGATCGGGTTTGGAGAAACTTTAACGCACAGAGGAGTGAAGTAGAATACAAGAGTTGGTTTCGAGTCGGAGATCACCGTGATTGTAGTGGCCGATGGGCCTCGGCTGGGGCTTATATAGCGAAGGGCGGGGCAGGGGGGGGCCTGGTGGGGGACAGGCCTTCCGTGGGAACGGTCCGTAGAGGTTGGTTCCCAAGCAAGCACACCACCTGTAAGCGGCAGCTGCCAGACACGCGCCCACACCAACCCATCGTCACCGTTTCTCCGTCCTCGTCTTTCTCTTTTACACGATATCGACGCCTTTTCCTTCTTCTACGAGTGGAAGAGAAACAGAGATTCCTTCGGGCTCCTTTTTCCATTCTAGCCACTCGTGCCACATCTTCTTATCGATCCCTGTCGCTCTTAGTGGAGAGTTGGAGCGTGCTGGGCACAAGTCCGATCGCAATCCCACTAGTTACACGTTACTGAATCACGGTTCGTGCGTCTATGCCACCGGGCTTCCTGCCCCGCCAATTGGACGATCGTTTTCTGTCGATCGTCCCGTGGGAAACACCGAAAAACTCATCGGGATCTTTTTTTAACGCAGCAATTTTTTCTTTGCTTACTTCTCACTAGACACGTACCACAAGTGGTTTTTGTATGCAAATCGAAACGTATCCAACTTTCTTTTCACGATTTTTTTTTTTATCGCGTACGCCAGTTCCGAAGAAAACTATTTCAACTATTTTACGAAAAGGAATTTATTTGCTATATTAAATATTGTCAAATCCCATTTGTTCGAGATTATAAAACTGCATTTAACACGTTGATTGTCATGGTGGTCACCGGTGACCGGCTCTTCAATCTTACGACGTGTTTTTAATACTTATATATTTTTTAATAATCTCATTGCCATTAGGAATACTACAAAATAACAGATATTCCATTGAACTATTGAATATTTCTATTTATTATGCTATAATTTGAAAAAAAATATCGATATTATCCCTAGACAGAGTAAACACTAATTAGGTAGGTTAGAATATCGTGAAAATACTCCCAAGATACCAGAACATATATGTATGTACATACCATTTCCCTACATCTAGATAAGTTTGATTTGCAAAAAGGTGAAAATTTGGTATGAAAAATCTAAACGTTCTGAAATTCTAACGGAACCAAAAGTTTAAGGAGTAACTGCACAGAAACTAATTTTTTTAACGCCACTAGGAACGCAAAAAGTCGGTTTTAGGTTATGGGTTCTGAAATCGTATTTAGTGTTTCTGAGAAAAAGTATTTGAAACATTTTATAAGAATTCTAACGAAACTAAAAATTTAAATTCTATAAGATTTATGTATGTAGGTATATTGCAATATAAATTGTATTTAAAAACAAAAAACAAGAATTAAAAGGGAACCTATTTTATATAATGAATTATGTATTATGGAAGTAGAAAATAATTCAACAATATACAGGGTGTTTATTAGAGACCTTTAAATTTAAGTATCTCGAAAGGAACACATTTTTGGCAAAGATGTTAAAGACAAAAGTGTCTTAGTTAAAAATTACTTTTTCAAAATTATTTTCAAGATAATTTTGTTATTTGTTTGGATGCAAATAACTATGGAAATAATTGATAATTTGTATTATTATTATATCTTAAGACTTGTGTTAAAGACAAAAGAATAAGCCAGAGTCTACTGAAAGTGTATTTCCTGTCAAATATTCTTGAAACAATTGACCTTCTGAACTTGAAAGTCAAAATAAAAAGAATAATAAAACAAAATGCTGAACCGAAAAAAGACGTTTGGAGGTTAAAGGGCTTTAGTATTCGAACCCTTTATTGCAATTACCTGGCAGAAAACATGACAAAGGTTTCGTCTGATCATTTTGCATCCAAGTTTGTTCGTTTTTTGTTCGAGGAAACCCTATAATGTATTTTGTTACGCGCGAAACTTGCGGTTCGATAGCTGAAGGCACAGATTGTGTGACCCAACCACTCGTGATTCCGTACCAATTTTATAAACTGGCCAATGCATATATACTATACTTCATAACCAGGGTGTGAGAGGAAAGAGTGTGTGTGATGTTTCTTTCCAATCTAGCTAGTTGGGGAGTGGTCGTGTTCGGCGAGAAGAAGAAAATTGACTCTGTGCTCTCCGCGCCGGCTATACTGGATCGGATGTGGAAATACCAAGCCGGCTCGTCCGTGAGCCACGTCGCCCGTGCGAGAACGCTGTTCTCTCTGCCTCTGCCCACTATACTTCATAACTGGAAATTTTAATTCTCAAAAAACTACAGAATACATTTAATACGTACAAATATAAGAAACACTTAAATTAAGATACGAATTATTATATTTAGTAATTGACACAACACTCTGCAAAGCTCTCATTCCATTAATTCTATTAATAAAAATATGAATTCGAAGAATTCATTTCGATAAAAACAATCGGCTACTTGAATGTAATTTTGTAATGCCATATTAGGAAGTTCAAATTGTCCTTTTCCTTACAAAGATTTATAAATATTTTTAATAATAAATTTCTGATTCCATGAACAATTTTTTGATTCACAGTGCTTAAGGGCGTTTAAAATCTCTACTGCAATAAAAATTAGAAACGCAACACTATTGAAAGAGTTGTGGGTCATCTGTAACCCAATGGTACCAACCGAGGGTTAAGGAAGAATCTAGTTACATTTTATAGTAAGTTTTATAGTGAATACAGTAGTCTACTCATAACTAACCTCTCTGAGGTCATAATGTGCACATGTTTCAAACAAGATAAATGGAACTCTATTATTTCGATTTGGCTATTCGACGCAGTTTTTCAATCTTTAAAAATAAATATCGAGGTACTCGTGCAGTTGCATTTCTTAGACGCATTAAATACACCAATATAGTTAAAGAATTGTGACATGTATCAACCTACAGTTTATTGATGTTAGATGCATCAAATATACCAAAATAGTTTTTACTTTGAAATGGCATAACATTTGAATTATTATATACTATTTAATATTTATTTGCAAAGATCGACAAATTATGTAGTCACGTTTAACAATTCTGTGATAATTACTTTAAAAACTATCTAATTGAAATCCATATAAAACAGTAACTAGAAAGCTATAACATTTGTCTATTATTTAAAAAAAATGTGTAATCGAAATAGAAAGCAGTGGAAAAATGGCTAGAAGGTTTAGACAAATTGAACTGTTCGGAAGCTAAAATGTTCTAAGCTGGTTCGAAATTTGAAATTTGTTGCAGTTTTATTAAAGGCAAGAAAATGAATGGAAAGGAATACCGGTGAGAGATTAAGAATAAAATGAAGGGGGATCGAAGACGTTTTATCTCTGGATCGGCGCAAGTTCCATGGAGGTGGCGGTGTCGTTAGAGCCACGTGCAATTGGCCGGCTCGAAGAGAGCAGCCCGTGAAAAAAGAGGAAGCCGAGAAAGGTATGGAGGCAGAAGAAAAGGAAGAAGAGGAAAAGGACGGCTCGTAAAGTTGCAGTAGCAAGAAGAAGGCTCGTCGAGACCGAGAAGACTAAGGACGAAACTAGCGTGCGTAATTATTCGGTGCGAACGATGTTTAAGTACCCCACTCGCCGGGGAAATAAGAGAGGTATGTAGTTGCCAGAACGAACGGAGAAAAAGAAAAAGGTTACGGGGAATGGCAACGCAAAACGAGAATACAAAAAGAATCGAACGGATATACAGCTTTTTTCAATTCTAATTCCATTTTGTTATTAAACAACTTACATTTTTTATCATTCAAACCAAATTTATCCTTTTTTTTTTAACTATTGCGATCCTTGGTATACCACGAATACCATCGATCGGTTTTTTTCGAAAATCAAATTATATTTGAAACTGTAAATATTTAGCAGATTTAATTAACGTCACTCCTGGAATTATTATCTCCAATAATTAATTGTCAGTATCATTTACGTACAGTGAAATTTGGAATTTCGTAATGATAAGTAAAAAACCCTAATTTATCAGTTATTGACTTTGAACTCCAAATTCAACTTTTTACAAATCAAGTTTTTCTACGAAAATTGTTCTCTTAAGATTCTATAATAAAGTGAAATGTATACAGGGTGTTTTGCCACCCCTGGGAATTAATTTTAATGGGAGATTCTAGAGGCCAAAATAAGACGAAAATCAGAAATACCAATTTGTTGATTGAGGCTTCGTTAAGAAGTTATTAACGTTTAAAGTTCCGCCTGTAGAGCGGCAATCTGCCAACAGCTGCGTGCGCAAGATAGTGGAACTTCGAATGTTAATAACTTTTTAATGAAGCCTCAATCAACAAATTAGTATTCTTGATTTTCATCTTATTTTGGCCCCCAGAATCTCCGATTAAAATTTTTCCCAAGGGTGGCTGAACACCCTGTATTTATTGTTAAAAAATTCCAAATTATACCAGTTAAAATGTAACAAAAGTATTTCTATAACTAAAAAAAAAGCAAATAATTTTAATACTTTTATAAGAGTATTTGACTTGAATGCTGAATATTTTGTTGTATATCCGTTAGAATCGAACACTTTGCCACTTCGGTTGTAATATTCTCAACTTTCAAGTTTTGTTTCAGGTGGTTCCATAAATGTTGAATTGGATTTAAATCTGCACTTTGGGATGACTGTTATATAAATTTTCTTTTACATTAATCAATTTTTTACAAAACATGAAATATGTTTTGGATCGTTATGTCTGAAATGTTTAATTATTTGGCAGTTTCTTAAATGCATAGAGCAACATTTGGAACCCTAAGATGATTCTGTTCAGAAAAACAATCATACATCATTACACTACCTGTATCACGGTTTACAAATGGGAAATTGATAAAGAACATTAAATATTCTTCCTTTTTGAAAAACCATTTTTGCCTAATCGAATGGGGTTCAATGTAAATAATTTCAA